ACTAATAACTAAAAAAAAAACTAATAACTAAAAATAAGCAAACAACTATAACATTAATTAAGTGTAAGATTGGCAAAATATGTATTATATTGAGACATCAGTGCCATTGGGTGGACTCAATCTGATGGGAACTGCACAATATAGTCGTCATTAATTAATATGGGGATATTAAATTTAAATTGACTTATTTTACAAGATAGCTACAACTAATATATCAGTCGTAGGAGAGGCTTTATTATTAAAGATAATCTTGTAAAATACCACCACCCTCAAGAAACCCATTCACTTAAATATAAGAATATGTATATATGATATTACATATAATATATGTTATATGGGATTATACTGTGACAGTGATGGAGCATGTATGGAGACCGGCAGATGGAAGTTATGAGCAAAGCTGACGGGTCAAACAGTAATGCTCGCTAAGAGCGGTTCCAAGCCAGTTAGTTGGAGAAAGAGGGGGGAGTTTAGTTGGTAGAACAGTACCAAAATAGTTAGAAAAGACCATTAAGTACTAGGGCCATTGCTGAGTATGTGGACAATAATAAAAAAACTGAGACAAATTTTGCATGAAGAAGTAAACATGATGAAAGTGTGTACTAAGCTTGAGACAATCCTAACCTCGGAACGGAAGGTACGTTATAAAGACATGTTCTTACACCCTGGAATGTATCGAAAAGTACTCAGACTTCTTGTCAAGGCTCGTAACTTGGGACAAAACATAGATTTTTTAATATGATCCCAAAACTACTACGTGAGAATAAATGTAGCGTAAGAAAAACTCTCCGAGACTCAAAAAATCGAGGATAAGAGCATAAGAGGATAAGCTCAAGTTCAAGGCGATATTGATTATTTTCTTCGATATACGGGGTGTAGCTAATATGAAATGGGTACCACAAGACCAGAAAGTTAATTAATATTACTATTTAGAGTTTTTACAGGGACTAACAACAACTCTCTTCATCTTTTTAATAAAATTTATGAAACTGGCTATGTACCAACGGATTGACTATTGTCGACTTTTGTGACGATACCTAAAGCAAATGCGAAAAGATGTAGTGAATACTAAAGCATCAGCTTGATGAGCCATGTTTTAAAAATATTTCTTCGAATTTTACACTTAAGGATATACGAAAAAATAGAAGATCAACTTAGTGAGATGCAGTTTGGGTTCCGCAATAACCTTGGAACCAAAGAAGCACTATTTAGTATTCAGGTTATTGTGTAGAGTTGCAGAGGTGTCGGCCATCCAGTTTATATGTGTTTCGTTGACTTTAAGAAGGTCTTTGATCTAGTAAAACATACTGAAATGAAACCATTCTTTAGCAAGTAAGTATTGATGATAAAGACCTATGTATCATTAAAAATCTTTACTGGCATCAACGTGCAAACATCAAGATTGGCCAGAATAATTCTAAAAAGCTTTAAATACGAAGAGGAGTAAGACAGGGCTGCATTTTGTCCCACTAATATTTAACATTTATTCGGAGTTCGTTTTCAGTAAAGCATTGGAAAGTGTTTAATGTGATAATTTGAGATACGCAGATGACACGGTTTAAATTGCAAGTAGTTACGAAGAATTTCAACATCTGATTAATAGGATTACTACAACGTGTGATGAATATGGTCATAAGCTAAACACCACAAAGACCAAGGTGATGGTTGTTAATAAAACAGCAATATAACCAGAAGAGGTAACATCTTCTGCAGAACAACTGCAGAGAACCAACAGTATCACATATCACTTACTTATGTGGAAACGGTATTACTTTAATATTTAAAATTAGATTAGTAAGATGTTATGTATTTTCTATTATTTTCTATAGTGTTGAAGGTTGGACTTTAACGGATACACTTCTAGGAAAACTAGAAGCTTTGAGGGCTGGGTGTATCGGGCAATTCTGCGAATGCGAATGGGAAAAGTTACGGAAGTGGTCAAAACAGTTAAAAATCGCAAACTGGAATATTTTGGACATGTTATGCATCACCCAGAGACATATAATATACTGCATTTAATAATTCAATGTGAGATAGGCGGAAGAAGAGGGCTAGGTCGAAAAAGAACGTCATGGCTTAGAAACCAGAGGGAATGGTTGAACAGATCCTCTGCATCCCTTTTTTGAGCTGTCGTCAACAAAATTATTATAACCAATTTTATAGCCAACGCACGATAATCGAGCAGGGTACAGGAAGAAAAATAAATATCTGCGGGGTAAAAACACGAAACATAGTGGCGGCTCACAAAGCGCAATCTGTACAGGATTATTTGGCCCAAAACCAAGTCACAGTCATTAAGCACCGGTCTTATTTACCAGATTTAGCCACCTGCGACTTCTACATGTTCCTAAAAATCAAATCCCATTTGAAAGGAACTTGATATGAGCCATTAGTATGAGTCAGGCAGCTGCTCAACAGCTTATCGGAAGATGACCTACAGAACTGATTCGTAAACATAAAGAATTACTAAATAAATATAGTATACCAATAGTTTCGAAAGGACATTCAAAATAAAAATATTAATTGCCTCAATTATTATTCTCGACACAATTAAATCTATATTCTTAGCTTGTGGTCTGTGTTTCCGAAGTGTAAATTAGATAATCCTTACTTATTTAAGATATTTTGCAACAATCCAAATTATTTACCAAGGTTCCAACACTATTCAGTAGGGATATGTCCCGACGTCATCTGTAATATTATAAATTTTTATTAGAAATATTATTATTATAATAATATAAAATAGCCATCAAGGAGTTATATCAAGTATTGACGTATCAAACATCAGATTGTAAAAGCTGCAAAATATTATGCTGCTGTTAAGTTGGATTTTGTATATTTTCAAATAACATTAAATTCATATTGTGTTAATAACTTTTTATATTCTCTAGCTAACTTTTCTTATAAGTCAAATATCTTGCGAGATAAGTCAAACCGCTGATATGGATCATCAAAGGTAATATTGGAAATACCGTAACAAACCCAGAAGGTATGACAGAGGTGTATTGCGAAATACTATTCTCTAACAACTACCCAGACAAATACAGAGAATAGATATTACGAAAAAGAACCATAAAAATTGAAATCAGAATTTTTGGCGGCGAAAAAAAGCTAAAATTCAGAAATGTAGAAGGAGAAGATGGAATAACTGTTGAGACACTCAAAGAAATGGGAGAGGTAGGAATTGAAGTAATGATTACAACTTGTAATGACATTTGAAGTACCGGAAAGTTACCAAATGACTGGGATAAGCTGACTTTTATTCCGATACGTAAAAAAGATTCACCGACAGATTGCAACAATTACCGTATACTAGCAGTAATGTCCCATTCGAGCAAAGTACACCTCACCTTCATCAATGAAAAAAACTAAAATCAATCAACAACAACGATTCGTCCCAGATAGGGGAACAAGAGGAACCTTTCTCAATATTCGTCAAATTATAGAAAAATCCCGAGAGTTTAATATAGAAACATATTTGTTCTTTTTTGACTACTCCACGGCCTTCGATAACGTAAAATGGGATAAAATGTGACATATACTTAGGGATATAGGTACGCCAGAACATCTAATCTATTTATTACAAGAATTGTATGTAAATAATGCCGCTAATGTAAGAGTTAATAACGTGGTTTCGAAAAACTTCAAATTGAAATCTGGAGTTCGACAGGGATGTATAATATCCCCCATTCTATGCAATATAAATATACAGTGAACAGATTATGCGAAGTTTTTTAGAAATGGCAAGATGGAGGAAATAGGAAGAAAAATCAATAATTTACGATATGCTGATATGCCAGCAAAAGAACTGGAACAAATTATGAAGTTGGGACGGTGAGTACGGAATATGGTTGAAAATAAATATACAAAAAAACAAAGTAATGATCATCGATAGGAACAGAAGCAACCAAACTGAGATAAGAAACGTGGCAAGCTACGAAGTAGTCAAACAATTTAATTGCTTAGGCTCCGTCATCATTATCAGTAAATGGTGCGAAGACGAGATCCGTTAACGCTTCACAATGTCCAGATCGGCAACAGTCAAACTAACAAAAATATCAAAGAACACTGACATTACAAAAAACACAAAATTGCACCTTGTTCGAGCATTAATATTTCCTATCGCCACTTAGCTTCAGAAACATCTATCACTATCAAAAAAGCCGATTCGAAGCGTATACTAGAACTTAACATAAAAACTAGACTCCCTACAACTATCAACCAAAATATACTAGCAGTTACTGTTACAAACCTGTAAATATATTTTGGACATATAACTAGAAAAAGACGAAGCATGGAACGAATAATAGTTAAAGACAACGTAGCGGGTAAAAGATCCAGAGGAACAACACACATAGGAGAGAGATAATTGGACAAAAATAGTCAAAGGAATTACATAACGCTACTACATCCTTACGAAGGAGAAAAGATAGAGCGAAAGAGAACACTTTTTACAGTAATATACAGTGAGATTATGTCAGACGGATAGAAGAATTTAATGCACGGCAAACGTTAATTATGATGAAATTGTCACTAAAATTGACACTTTTAAAAATTGATCTACGAATCTTGAGCATAGTTGCAATTTGGAACATATTTGGAATAACTAGTATTCGTATCCCATCGATAATTATGTGGAAACGTATGTGGAAATGCTGTAATGTACTTGGGAAAAGCGAACTTCGCAGTAGGATTTCAAAGTATTATAATAGATACAAGAAAATAATCTGTTTTATATCTTATGGTGATTTATGATTAACTATCTATATTTATATTCCATTTTATTGGAGTATATACAACAAAACAGGGTATGCTTTATTTGTAAATTAGTTTCGTCTCTATAATATGTACACTCACTGCTTCTAAATCACATTCTGGTTCTAATGGACATACAACAATCACAAATTTACTTAGGCAATGCATCTTTTTGTGTTTGTACATAGCGATTTTATTTTTTTATGATTTTCTCATAGTTTTATTCGCTTTTGTATAAATTCTAGCCCAGAAATAGCAAAAACCAGCATTGAAACAAACGTAGCTAGTAGCTATGAAAGTTCACCTAGATCTGGACCGTCACGATCTGCCTCTTTAAGGGTCAAGGTTGGAGATCCTGGCCCGAGAGTGACGTTCAGTGATACTCAGACCATTGGAAGGTACAGTATATTATTTTCGTTTACGTGAAATACTTATTGTATAATATTAGAGTAAAAAAATCTAAACATAGTATACTAAACTTGTTTAATGAAATAAACTGCAAAATCTTACACAAGCTCTGTGCCTCATAGGTATATACTCAGACATATACTCTACGAACCTTTTTTATATTGAGTCAATAACTTTGTATGAGGTATAAATTAACATTTTCAATACAAACTAATAATCGCATAAGTGTGTAAATAACTAACCGATCGCTAAGGACTCTTTCGTCAGCTATATATTTAGAGAATAAATTTTTTTGAAGTTTAGAAAATTATTGAAAGATGTAGCATATATTAGAAAATTATTAAAAAGCTCGGAGAGGTTAATATCAGACATGTGCAGCTGTTAAATTAATGTTTAAATATTTTTGTTGATTCCTTTATTATTCGGGTTTTATTACGCCACATAAAACTGTCAACAAATATATAATTATTAAATTTTTAAATTGGTTTTCGTCAATGAAACTTAAAATATAAATATATTTCTTCAATTGTGCTTACATTCACTTTCTCTATAAATTTTACTATTATTATGGCGTCAAACCTTTAATGAGTGTGCCATATCTCTAAAATATAAATCAGCAAATACACTCACCGGAAAAATTAACGGAACACCTTAAAAATGGGACATGTTAGATGACTCGAATTTCCTAAACCTGTTGTCCGATTTTAGTGATTTTTTTAGTATGTTATAGGTATATTATTTAAGAATATCAATGAAATAATATTGTTGCTAGACAGGTCAATGTCATTTTATACCGGGTGTAACAATCATACTGTGTTTTTTTCCTTAAAGTTCGAAACACCCTGTGGAATATTCTAGCATACATAAAATATTGAAATTAAAGCTCAATTATAGTCTCAGGCTTTCTTAACATTTTCTTTTTTGATTCATTTGCTTGTGTTGGATAATAAAAAAGTTAGGTACGTTAACAACTAGCCATGTTTTTTCATCAATAAATGCTCATTTTCTTCTTAGTTTCACCAGCATATTTAAAGGAACAACCATAAAATCTGAGTATTTTCTCTCTAGTCTATATACTGTTTAGATAATATCATAATACGAATGTTGGTGAAATATTTTGAATTTATATTACAGTGGTAGTACTATATAAAACCTGTTTAAGAAGAAATAAAACACAAAGATGTCAGACTCAACAAAATACGGATTTTAAACGCATTAACTTTATTGTACAGTTTGAACTTAAATTGGTTTTTTATGCATTTTTTGGCTTTAATAGCGTGTGTTTCCCCTACGAGCCCTTACAACTGCAGTTATTCGTCTTCTCATACTTCTGATACCGCTATCGATCAGTTGTTGGGCAGTCTCTCCCATTCCTCAATCAAAGTAATTGTGACTTCCTCTCTGTTTTGAATAGCAGGAACCCGTGCCCTAAGTTTTCTGCCTAGCATGTCCCACATATCCTCTATCGGATTTAGGTCTGGGGAACAAGCTGGCCAATTCATCGTTGTTATACCCACTTGTAATAAGAAATATCTTACACAGTCTGCGACGTGTGGGCTCGCATTATCCTGCATTAAAATAAAATTTTCGCCAATATATGGTGAAAAAGGTACCACATGGTCTTGGAGAATATCTCTGATATACTTATCTGCTGTTAATGCTCCATCATCATCAATCACCACTAACTCTGTTATTGCTCCCAAACATATACCGCCCCACACCATAATTGAACCTCCACCAAAAGGTACGGTCGTAGTAAAATTGAAAGGGGCATTTCGTTCTCCTTGGCGTTTATACAATCTTTCTCTTCCGTCGATGTTATTTACACAGAAACGGCTCTCGTCCGTAAAGAGAATTTGACTCCAGTGGTTATCATTCCAATTTTGATGTACTCGACCAAATTGTGGTCGTGCTAAACGATGGTGTCTCTGGAGTCTGGGAGCTTTTATTGGCACATATGACTTGAGACCGGCTTTTTTAAGTCTCTTTCTTACTATGCGCTCAATTAAACACAAGTTTGTACTTGTTATGAACAGACAGAATGACTGTAAAATGTAAAACACAATACAAATAAACAAATTAATTTGTCATTTAAGACTTTCTTGTGACAAGGAGTTTTCAAAGCTATGTAGATATAGTCTATAAAATACAAATATAAAGAAATATTGCATTAATAACAGGTTCCTTTAAATTTGCCGGTGTGTGTATTAAATTGTTAACTTCTCATAGCCTACTTTAGGCTTGTTTATTAAACTAAGCAGAAATGAGGATTTATTGATGAAAAACATGGCTAGTTGTTAACGTACCTAACTTTTTTATTATCAAACATAAACAAATGAATCAAAAAAGAAAATGTTAAGAAAGCCTGAGGCTATAATTAAGTTTTAATTTCAATATTTTATATATGCTAGAATATTCCACAGGGTGTTCCGAACTTTAAGGAAAAAACACAACAGGATTGTTACACCCGGTATAAAATGACATTGACCTGTCTAGCAACAATATTATTACATCGATATTCTTAAATAATATACCTATAACATACTAAAAAAATCACTAAAATCGGACAACAGATTTAGGAAATTCGAGACATCTAACATGTCCCAATTTTAAGGTGTTCCGTTAATTTTGCCGGTGAGTGTATTTCTTAACGACATATTTCTTACTGACATACCAGTAATTTCTACACATTGGTAAGACATTATTTCAAAAAAAGGAATTCGAATATATTTGTCACAAAAAGCAAACTTTCATTCGCATAGTTGACACCTTACTTGGAAACCATCGTAGCTTATACTCCAGTCGTCAGAGACGAAAATGCCACTGAACCTCTAAAATTCGTACCAACAAGGTCAATTTTGTTGAGTCCCCTAAAACCCCCCTCAACATTTCTGTTCAAAATTATCTCAGCTGCATTGTTTATTTGAAACATTTTTTTCTACGGCGTACAAATTCTTGGTCAATCGATTTCTTCTACCGCCTCCCCTGCGAGGAGGCCTTAGTAAGAGTGGTAAATTGTTTGCATCTCTTTTTGGGGTCCAAAATTGATATTCTTAGCAAAATTCAGCTTGTTCGTATGATTTTTAGAGGTCAAATCTCTGACGACTGTACTACTGTGATTTTTTAACACACAATTCAGATAATTTAATATGTCTTCTTCTTCTTCTTCTTCCTTCTTGTATGTAGGCTTAAAAGCCTGTTTCTTCTTTAATATTAGCCTCCTAAATACTTTAAATTATCGCACCATATTTTTCTTGATCTGCCAATGCTTTTTCCTGATATTCGTCGGAGTATTTTCATCTCTGTTGTTTCTAGCAGTCGTCTCATTTTAGATGGGCCAGGTCTTGTCTCTGCCCTGTATGTTAATATAGGTCTAATTGCTGCTTTATAGATTCTTGTTTTTGTGCCTTGTCTTAGGTGTTTGTTCTTCCAGATTGCGTCATTAAGAGATCGCGCCGCTTTGCTTGCTTTTAAGCTTTGGTGTCGTACTTGTTATTCAATATGTCCCTAACTAGTTATATCTATTCCCAGATATCTAAACCTTGCTTCGTACTTTATTATTTTCCCATCAATTTCGATTTTACATCGTAGTTGTTGTATTAAGATGTGTATTAATCTTTGGAGCTCGTCTTCTGTCTCTGCGATTAATGCGTCATCGTCTGCCTATCATAATATTTGGATTTCTTTGTTCCCCATTCTTTAACCATAACATTTACTGACTGCTTCTATTATTTCGTCCATTATTACATTAAAGAGAAGTAGGCTTAACGAGTCACCCTGTCTGACTCCGCTTTGTGCTGGTATACACTGTGTTAGTTTTCTAATTATCTTTGCCTGTATTCAATTGTGGAAGAAGATATTTTTGATCGTTTGTATAATATTGATTGATATGTTTCTTTTTTACAGTAGGTCTAAGACGTCCTCGACTTCGATGCGATTGAAAGTTTTTGTCAGGTCTATAAAACATAGATATGCTGGTTTATTTTACTCGATGGCCTTTTCTGTGATTTTTTCGGGATCTACCGAATCTAAATCCTTGTTGTTCATCTGATTAAGTTGTTAGGTTATTGATTTTCTTGGTTAGGACTTTTGTAGTAAGCTTAATTGCGTTGTTCAGTAGATTTGTACCTCTAATTGTTGGGGTCTTCTTTATCTCCTTTCTTGAACATTGGTATCATTATGCTGTTTTTCCATGCGTCTGGTATCTTGTAGTGCAATATTAGTTTTTGTATAAATTTTGTCATCTCTAGGGGCATACTTTCTTCTCCATGGTTTAGAATGTCGTTGGTTATTCCATCTGGTTCTGGTGACTTTCTATTTTTGAGTGAATTTATCGCTATCTCTACTTCCTGAAAACTGTTTTCTATTTCTTGTCTTAACTCAGGTACGTTATTGTGTTGATTATTATTTTCCTTTGCTTTAAATAGTTATTTTTCCTTCTCGTTTTCCTTTTCTTTGCGTGGTTAGTCATCTTAGGTTCCGTCTGGTTCCGAGACTTTATATCGGTTCTTTCAGCCTTGTTTTCTTTTACAATGGGTAGGATGCTAACCTGGCCCAATAACTCTGCTCTTTTATCTGGACTTGAAAGCGACTGTGGGCAGGAACGCGGCTTCTGACCTACTCCAGCCTCGAGTTCATAACCTCCAGGCAGAGTTGTTTAATATGTAAACTTTAAGTAGTATTGTCAATACGTCGCGGATGACTTTATTGAAGACATTGCTACTTAAAATTTACGAAGGGGTAGTATTTTTTAATCATTTTACCACTATGTATTTGGCTATAGTATTTTAATATTACAAATTTTTCAGAAATAAATCTAAAAGTTATTTGTAAAAACTGTATATTATATTGCTTAATTATAGGCTTGTAAAAGCAATCCTAAACAAATGTTACAGTATAATTTTTACTCAAAAAATTTAAAAATGTATTGAAAAGGGGTGTTACAGAAGGGGTATTGAGGACGTACTGACACATGAAGAACGTCTAAATAATATTATATAATCGGAAGATACAATCATCATCGTAGATAATGTGCAAGGTCTACAAACACTAGTTACTAAGGTAGCGAGAATGAGCCAACAATGCGGCCGAAACATTACCATTAAAAAAACAACGTTTGTGATTATTAGTAAGTGCCTCAACAACTAATAATCGATCCACAACCAATAATTCAAGTAAAATTCACGTGGAATGCAGTGCATAGAGAAGGCTAGAGCAGCTTTTGTTAAAAGGGGCAAAAATTCTCAAAAGTTAGATCTGGGTTACGTAATGAGAAATCAACAACAATGGTAAGGAAAAGTAAGAGACAGAAGAGGTCAGACGAAGAATTTCCTGACACTGTACTCTTGGAAAGTGGAAAATTCATCTAAAATCAATATTCTGACCACAGTTTTAATGTGGTATTAGTAATACTATTTAACTAACATTTTGAAGTAAACATTATACTTGTAAACATATTTGCTTTGGCTTTAGCATATCCTTGCTGCTTTTAGTTTTAGAGTATATATGTATTTTTCTATCAGAAACAGGAGGAACATCAACTTAGTGTTAATAATAAAACTAATTCTTTCTATTATAGGCAAAAATCTTTACCGAGCGCCAGTTCAGATTTGAGTTTACCAGAAACGCAACTTGAAGATTGGGTAGATCAAATAAATATTGACGGACAAAAAGTAACACTCAGAAAAAAGTTACCAGCATCATACGAATCCGTCGATGGGTAATAAATTTAATTTTGAAGAAAAAGGAGATGTCAGTTTTTTCTGTTCATTATCAAGTTAGGTTAGGTTAACATTGTTTATGAAACCTTAGCTAACGTAGATCTTCTTATTGTCTGGTAGTTTTATTTGTTTTTAAGTATTCAATGATTATAATGAACCCAATACTTTTCTAGTTGCCATGCAAGATAATAGTTCAAACTGACATTTTTTCCATTAATAGTGAAAGTTGTAGTTATCTGGGGTATTTATGTAGAAAGTTATTAACATGTTAGATAAAAAATAGCTTTATACTCATAAAAGGTTTGTGGTGCAGAGATAAAAAGTTTTTTTTATTTCCTGACTTAGTAGATGTACAAAATATTTCATTAATTTTACTATTGCGTTCAATATTATATATAATGTTGGCTGAGGCGATAAAACAAATAAAAGGAAAAAAGAATACCAAAGGAAATAAAGAAGGTATGCTATGCAGATAACGCAGTTCTGATAGCGAAAAATGAAGATCATCTCCAAATACACCCAGGCTAAGGAAGATTAGAATAATTCTTGTGAGTTGTTGCCCTGGCAAGACCATTAGGGTCTTCTATCAATTTTTTGCCTCCTGACTTAGTAGATGTACAAAATATTTCATTAATTTTACTATTGCGTTCAATATTATATATAATGTTGGCTGAGGCGATAAAACAAATAAAAGGAAAAAAGAATACCAAAGGAAATAAAGAAGGTATGCTAGACAGATAACGCAGTTCTGATAGCGAAAAATGAAGATCATCTCCAAATACACCCAGGCTAAGGAAGATTAGAATAATTCTTGTGAGTTGTTGCCCTGGCAAGACCATTAGGGTCTTCTATCAATTTTTTGCCTCTTCGAAATTTCAGATTTTTGACATAACTGTATTCGCAATTACTTTTAATCGAAATTTGTAGCGCCCACACGCTGTATATATATATATATATATATATATATATATATATATATATATATATATATATATATACAGCGTGCTGCAGATAAACGGCCAATTAGAAGTATCTCGAGACATAAAGGAAACTGAAGAGTCTATTTAATGAAAATATTTTCATCTATTTGCTACTTCCGTTATAAGCAAATTTCGGTTATACAGGGATAATTTGCAGCTAATCCAAATTCATCCTTACGATAATTTCAGGAATTGTTACAGGTATCGACTCGAACAATTCCCAGAATTTTAAGAAACATCATTGGACCCTTTATTTGTATACACTAGCTGAACATTTACATCCTGGAGATTATGTTAGACGTGTAGAATTTTGTGATTGGGTTTAATGAAATGTCAAGATCAAGATTTTCTTCTTCAAGTGCCCTCTCCGCTACGGAGTTTGGCAATCATCATTGCTATTCGTATCTTTGAAGCTGTTGCTCTAAATAATTGGGTAGATGTGCACTGGAACCAATCTCTTAAATTGCGCAACCAAGATATAAGTGGTCTCCCCACGCTTCGTTTGCCCTGAATCTTTTCTTAGATAATTAACTGGAGCAATCAGTACTTTTTCCCTCTCATCACATGACCAAGATATTCCAACTTTCTTCTCTTGATGGTGATCAACAGCTCCCGTTCTTTGTTCATTCTTCGAAGAACTACACTATTTGTTATTTTATCTGTCCAAGGTATTTTCAAAGTTCTTCCATATATGCACATTTAGAAAGCCTCTAGTTTATCGGTATTGCTCTTGTTTAACAAATGTAACAGTGCTTCTGTTACGTATACTCAATGCTTCTGTATGGAGTAGAAACGTGGATATTGAAGGCGAAAACTCTATCAAAACTTCAGGCGTTTGAATTATGGTTATACAGAAGAATCCTGAAGATACCATGGACAGACAAAGTCACCAATGAAGAAGTACTGCGGAGGATGAACACAACCGCGGATTTGGTCAACATTGTGAAGAGCCGTAAGCTGGAGTACTTGGGACATATTATGAGAAATCAAGGCAGATACGAGCTACTTTAATGCATTTTGCAGGGTAAAATTGAAGAAAAAAGAGCCCCAGGACGAAGAAGAATGTCCTGGCTTGCTAACCTGAGAGCATGGTATAGAAAGACCTCAACACAGCTATTTCGTATAGCAACCAACAAAATCATCATAGCCAGAATGATCGCCAACGTTCGGAACGGACAGGCACCCTAAGAAGAAGAAGCTCTTGTTTAAAGTCCAAGTCTCTACTCCGTACAGCAATATCGAAAAGATGTAGCATCTAACCAATGTCATTTTTAGGTTTAAGTTAATGTCATGACTTTCCAGAATGTCCTTCATATTAACGAAAGTAGCTCGAGCCTTTCCAATTCTAGTTTTTATTTCTTCTGTGATGTCATTGTTGTTATTAACACTTGTTCCCAAATATTTATATTTGTACACCCGTTCGATTTCGTTATTGTGAATGTACAGGTTGGCATTCAATCTTCGTTTTTTGAAATAATCATGAATTTCGTCTTCTTGACATTCATTGTTAACCCTTTCGCTTCACTAGCTGTGACTACCTTGTTTAAAATGGCTTGCAGGTCTTCTACTGTCTCCGCCACTAAAACCGTATACTTTGCGTATCTAATATTATTAATTGGTTGGCCGTTAACTTTTATCCCAATCTCTTCTTCCTCCAATGCTTTCTTCATAATTTCTTTCGAATAGAGATTAAATAGCATTGGTGATAGTACACATCCTTGTCTAACTCCTTTTTAATTTGAATTTCATTTGTTGTGCTATTTTCGATTCGTGCGGCTACCTTCTGATTATATTACTAGATATTATTCTTATGCGCGAGTGTCTAACTGTTTAGCTTTCAAGATCTCTAAAAGTTGGTCATTCTTGACGTTATCAAACGCCTTGTTGTAATCAATGAAACAAGCAAATACATCTTGATTCACATCCAAACACCTCTGTGTCAAGATGTTAAAGACAAATAGTGCTTCGCTAGTTTCATATCCCTCCCGGAATCCAAACTGAGTTTCTTCGATATCTTGTTCCAATTTTCTGTAAATTCTATTGTGAATTATTTTAAGGAATATTTTTAAGGTAGGGTCATCAGACTGATCGTGCGATGATCACTGCACTGCTTAGAATGTGCAAATATTTTACAAAACTAATTATTTGGTGTCGAAGATGAGATCAGTCGAAGTTTACAAAAAATGGTATATTTAACTTACAATATGAAAGTTGTAAGTTAACACAACATAATCTACGAAAAAAAATTTCTTTTTTAACAAAAATGTAAAGTTAATTTATTTGAAAACTGCAAGGAGAATATAGTTAAAAAAAACAATATATGTATTTACACATATAGCAAAATATACACACAAATAGCAACATAAGATAATAGGAGAAAGGTAGGCCCAGTCGAGTAAACAAAGAGAAGATAAATATTCAACATTAATTATAAAAAATTTATTGAAAAATTGCCTATCTACAACAAATTCATTCCTTATGATTTTACTCTTAAATGACTTGATGAGTAAATGAATCTGTCTTTAATGTATTACTGGAGTATCTTTGTTATATCTTGTTTATAAACTATTATTTAAATGTAATTTATTTTAAACGCATCTATTTTATTCCAGTGTATACACCTACAGTCAAAATATGTAAGAGTTGTTCAGATTTTATTATTTTAACGATTTCTGAAACAAATATATAATTAAATTAAAATGTAGACTATACCATATACATCATAATAAACATTTGCTTGATACAAATCGCCAGCAATTAGCTTTACAACAGAACTGCTGAATATGCTACAGTATATTAACACCTGCATACTCCAACTAACTGTTATAGCTTTCTACTAACAATTGTTTCGGTGTAACCGCAAAATATATGGGAGTTTATGACTACCACTTATTATCTAAATTTACGCAGACACACAAAGCAGATTTGACACATATAAATACGAAGTATGTACCAAAGGTATGCAAACGTCGTTCATAACTGAGCATTGCTTTATTATTTATCATCCAACTGGTGCTCTTTCCAAATAATCCCCATTCAAGTTCAAATAAGCTAATTTCATTGTGAAACTGTTTTTTTATTTAAAAATCATATCCTTAAGCATACGCTGATGACATTGTCATAATACGGTGTAGGAAGCGGGGTGTTGAGTAAGCATTATTTCCTAGCAGGGAAACAGGTCGGTCTAGTCATCAACGAAGACGAAACCATCCTATAGCAAATGAGGAACAGGAACCAGTTTTTGGAACTCATATATTTGAGAATGTTGACTAATTTTGTAATGGAGTTGAGACCGACTTAGGGATATTAAAAGTCACAAGGTGGCAACATGTCGCTAGAAAGCGTACAGAATGGCAACGAATCTTTGAGTGACTTCTAAGCGAATCTTTTCTGCGTTGTCATGAACAATTTTAGAATGAATTGACACACACACACATGTGTCATTCCCACATCGTTGGTTAGAATTATTGTCGGAATACAAGCTTTAGTCAAACGAAGATCTTTAATTGAAAATCCTTCTTCTTCTTTGAGTACCGTGCCCAAGTTTTATGCTTGGATAGCTTTCATGACGATTTGCCGATATCGTTCTTGATCTTGCACGGTATTTAATAATTCATCTGCTGATAAGCCAGTCCATTGACGAAGGTTTCGGAGCCATGAGTATTTCTTTCTACCAATTCTTCTTCTTCAGTCGATCTTTCCATTGAGTATCAACTGCATTATCCTGTATCTGCTTCCTCTCATTATATGCCCCAGATATTCGAGTTTTCTCTTTTTTATCATCCTTATTAAGTCACCTTCACCTTGACCTACTCTGTTCAAGACTTCTCTGTTTGAAATGTGTTGAACCCATGATATTCTAAGCATTCTACGATATAACCATATCTTGAAGGCTTCTAATCTGTAAGTCCTACAGTTCGATATTTTCCGATGTTGTGCAGGATGGTCGACCAGAATATTGTCAATGACAACATACCTGTGGCCATTTTTAAATCAACTGAATCTTTTTTATCTGTATTTTGTCATACTTTCATCTACAAAGGATGTTTGCATCATGTGAATAGTTTCCGCACATTTTTTTTTTTTTTCGATATTAATAAAAACCTAAAGTAAATTGAGAGCGATGGGACGTTATGAACGAAGGTTTTGGAACAGACCTTATACATTAATCTACGTTATTATATAAATTACTCATACGTTATTTCTTCCAATTTTACAATAAATATTTTGAATAGTAACTTTTAACTTTGTCGATAACTATAAGCTATTGAGCATTACTATTTTCGATCTTTTTTCTGTTGCCATTTTTGTCTAGAACATAATTTTGATTTATTGCTCATTATGAGGTGACAATGCTTAATATAAAGTGGCCATTCCGGATTTTTCTAGGATCCATATTATTTCTATAGCTAGTTATATGTAGTATACGTCATCCCTTTAGATGATTAAGTAGTCGTGAACTCCTAACGCATTGACGCTGTGGGTAAAAATTGTGATTTGTAATTTCATCTTTAACAACAATTATTTTAAAATATTTTAGATCACTTTTGTCAGACTCTTTTTCGGACCAAGTTTTGGGTGCCACTCATTTCCAAAGTGGAAACATGAATACATCTTCAATTGCGCAGAAAGCTCAAGAACCTAATATAGACTTAGAATTAGACGTTAAAGTATTTATAAACAGTGGAAAATGTGCTTTACACACCAAAGATCCTGTTAGAGAAGAGGAAGCCAAAATGTAAGTATCGACGTCTCGCTATGTTCTGTTTAATGTCAATTTAAATATCCCATAATACGTGGGGACCGGTCTTAGGTAAAATTCAAATAAAACTTAAATAGGAGATTCTATATATCTATACTAAGATTCTATTTAAGGCATTTAATATTGTAGGTTCAAAGTCTATCAAAGATGTTTTTTAAATACCATAAAATTCACTAACGGTGTGTCAACAAACATGTTAAAAAACCTCGTTCCAATATCGGAAGAAGAAAAAATAATTTATATTTGTTTGAATGGTTTGGGTTGATTTGGGTTTGGTGCATAAATAAAAATATAGAGAGTATAAGTCTCAATGATACCAATCAGGCCCCTACAGGCAAACCTTCAGCACAGTAAGGCAGCTTCTGTTTAACTAACTGTAGCTTGGGGGGTTCGATATCTCCTTAATACAAGAACGTTGGTATACTAGAACCAAATAAAAGGTCCATCGGGTGTTGGTGGAGAGTTTATACAGGGTGAGTCATGAGCAACTGTACATACTCCTATCTCGAATTGAGGCCTCTATGGGGAATAACAAATGACCATTAAAAAGTTTTTGGTTCCATTGTTTATTAATAAACAGTAGTGTAATATCAAACAATAAACTCCATAGAGACTGTAAGTTACTTTAACCGTAACAATCAAAAATTTTTATTATTAATGAATATATCGAAATACAAGCTGATAACCTACAAAAAGTAGAACAGATAAACTCGTTCTACTACGGACTACAGAGGTTTTTCGTCAGGACCGTACTCCAATTAATCAAATGATAACTAAAAATTAGTAGTTCTTTTCGATATGAAATTTCTACTACTAATAATACACCAAATGAAATCAATTAAATAGATCACCTACATATTCTTCCGTAGCTAATCAATTACCACACACCAATATATTTCCATCAAGAAAACAAGCAATTATACTCCATGCAATTGAAAATACCAAACAAGAAGATTACCTTCCCGCTTTATGTCTTCAGATACAACCAACCCACATTATTTTCTGTTCAAGATTATCAAATAACAGAGTATGTATACAAGCTCGTAGACTAGTTAGTCCCAGTCAGCAATTACTATTATCTAATTTCTGTTCCTCAATCCCACACTTAGTCCTAATATCTGCATTGAAATCACATGGATTAAATCTTCTGTCACCTTTAACATTCCAAGAATAGGCACATAACACCACAATTCCAGCATGTTTCTGAGCTTCAGACGCCAAACCTACATATCTCCACTAAATAACCTATTAAAAAGGACATACAGGTTTTGCCTATCATTAGATAACCAAGCTTGCCAAACATGTAAAGAAAACAACCACTCAACAACACCAATGTGTATTGCGATTACAACAGATAATTTAACATCAAACATAGACCCAATTGAAAACACAACTAATCTACCAATTCAAAATACCTAAAAAACACTCATCAATAACAACCAAAAGAAGAAAGCATACAACAAAAAACTTCAACCACTAACCACACATACACCCAACAAAAGAAGATTCACAAACAACAATCGACCTAAAAATGGATCTAGAAAATGAGACAATGCACAGAAAAAAAAAAGAAAACAAATGCATAATATCCCAAATCTCTTCATCAGCTACTACATTTACAGAAGAACCTACTTTCTTAACACCAAAAAATATAGAGAAGAAAATAAAAATATCAAACCAAATAAAAGCAATAGAAGAAATTCTAAGTTACACTAAAAAATTATTTGATAACCTAAACTATAAATATCCTGTAACTTACGAACAGTTATTAGATTTTTTGAAAACTGTTAGGTTTCACCAGATCCGTTGAGTATCGCCAAAATATATACAGAACAAGCAGCAGAGATCATACATCTATTAACTAAAATATACTCTTACTTGAAGGACCGAAAAATTAAAGTCAAATGTAACGGTAAAACATTTTATAATACAGTGTGCCAAATATAACAGTGTACGACAGAAATATAACATACCCGCCTCCCTAAAAGATGCCCTAGAAGAAAATACAGATACTCAAAAAATATTTTCTTATCTTACTGTCAATTACTTCAAAAGATCTAAAAGACCCATTGTAATACATATATTATAAACGTATTTATATTATGTATATCAACTGTCACATTAATTTAAATACTCTAATGACCCTGCGTGGTCGATGCGATGTTAAAAAAAAGTATAATTTTTAGTAATATTTAACCGTATATAACATTTTGTATAGAAGAGAATATATCAAATACAAAGAGTGGTCAACTTGCTATCATGTTTTTTTCACTTTGATCTGAAATACATTTAATGTTATCTAATATAACTTCTGTAAAACAGAACTGTATGGGATGAATTTAACACCTGAAGTAACACAAGCTTTTTTAGTAATAATTTTGTTTTTATTCGTTTCAAGAACTCGTATGAGAAAAGACAGAAGTTGTTCCGCAGGCCTTCTAGAATTCCCTACTACATCTTCAAGCCCCGATGCTATTCGAAAGAACAAAGAGAAGTTAACAGCACAAAGCAGCACTTCCAAATTAAGAGGCACAACACATGCATCTATTTCTGATATTACGATTTTCCATATACCAGGAATGGACGTCAAAATTCAATATCAGTCAAAGGTAAGTTAAGTACGTGGTATAAATTTCTTAGTTTAAATTAAATAATACTTTTAGGTAATAATTGAAGAAGGTACTACTACCGAAAGGAGCGAAGCTTCTCCAGACTTCGATAAAGCATTCCAACAAACTCCAAACAAACCTAACGGTGAATCAGACCAGGTCAGAATAGATAGAGCATTTAAAAGACAAGAAACACATCCAGTGGACATAAAGACCAAATATTTACCTGATTTGGAGCTTAAGGGGTCAAATTCTATGCAAGGTATTACTAATCCCAATTATGGACATAGCCCGACATCCAGCAAAACCAGTTTAGATGACTTACAGTTTGGTAATTTTACACCACCCAGTGAATTTCAAAAACCGTTTACAAGTAAGTGGTAACAATCAGTTTATTATTTTTAAGAGTTAATCATATACCCTACATATGAATTTGTGACTTTCGGATAGGCCTTATCGCCTTATGTCGAGCTTCTTCTGGATCAAGGCCTTGAACAGGCACTTTAAACTTTTTCTTGCTGCGCCACTTATGATCGTTTGCTGAGCCTTATTTAGTCCCTGTTGAGCTTCATTTTCCTACACTTTTCAGTATTTTGTCTACATCTGAGAGCATATCCTATAACGAGATTATGTTCCATAGTTTTCGGATGACTGAGGTTATTTATTCTTCTTGCTTATTATTTGATTTATTTATTTGTTTCTGGTTCATTCGTCTCAACGGGAAGCTAGGAAATTGATCGTCACTCCCGGCAGATCCCCTACACTACTAGAACTTTAATGAACCGACGGCTTCGCTGATACCCGGTGTCCGCGTAGCAGACGGGTCCTTTAACATAGTTAATAGTACACAACCCATTATCCTAATTTCTACGCTGTGCCAAGCGATCGCGCATGCTGTTTGATCACTGGTTGTAAAGGATTTTTGTAGTTCTTACCCAGTTGGTCAGCCAAATAAGGCAAGCATGCACATCGTTAGGTGCTTCCACACGGTAGTATTGTTTCATAATTCCTGCAGTAGCTCTGTATTTATCTGTCCATAACACTTACTTCTCACGCTGTCAGTCTTGGTATTAATTTACTCAAGAACTCCAGTTGCTAGCATCAACGTTCTGGTTAGAGACCTGGGTATCCATTCAAGCCGTTTGATTTCATTCCTCTGCGTGGAGGTGAGTTGATGTTTGCGACGCAAGAATCAATATGTATAAGAAGAAAACGAAACGTTCTGAAGGGAGTCAACAATCCTTCGTTTCTTTAGAAGAAAACCTGTCGATCTGTAGCAGAAAACATCGTTGCTGTGAGTAAACTAATATTACAAAACCATCATGTGACGTGAGATAGCGTTACATTTTACAGAACATAACTACTAGAAGTTCACTACATAAATAAATCACTAGTGTAACGTATCGACTGCTATAAGTAAATGTTGAAAAAATTCATCTATACTTTAAACGCCAAGTTTATAAGATTATTTTCCGAAACTAAGTGGTATGGACCTTTCAAGAAGAACAAAATTCAATAAAAGTTGTTCGCGAACCATTGTTACGTTGCCATTATTCCATGAGAATAACGTATAAACGTTAATTCTGACTGACTTGTCGAAGATATATCATTTTCCACTACGTCGATGGGAACTGAGACCCTCATAAATCGGCTCAAACAATTTAGTTCTTGAGCACATTGATTAGATGGATTCTTATATGCCATTAAGGCTAGTTTTAGTTCAATATCTTTTTTATTCATTTTTTCGAAAGCACTGAGGAAGCTATTAATGCATTTAACAGCATTTTTTGTATATAATCTTCAGAGTATTTTGAAACAATAATTTCTTTAAACTATTTATGGAATTAACAATATGGACTGAGTGGACCAAAATTCTGGAAAGGCCTAATTTTCTCTTAAATGGATGGTCCGATTTGTACAAAAACCGGGATACGCCTATTTTGAAATATGGAGATTTCAAATTTGATGCTTGCAATGTTGCCAGATTTACCATTTTTCTGATATCATTAGTCACTTTGGTGTTTTAAATACAACAGTCCTACGACAAGGTCCTAAATAAATAAAACCTCTCATTGCCAAATAGTTTTGAAGTAATTCAGTAAATATAGAATGCTGTGATTTTGGCATTAATTCGTAAAACTAATAATAGTCTGACTTTTATTGAAAAGTTTTGTAAAATAAATTGTATTAATAACTAAAGCTGACACAGTTGTTTTGTGTATTTTTTAAAACTGTACAATAAATATGGCTTTTAATGAAAAAGAGCGTATTACTGTTTTAATGACGAGACGCTAAGGCGATAGAAAAATATCTTATAGTGAAGTAGACAACTTGTTCAACGATACTTTCCCAAACCATTCTCGTATCCATAAGGCGACGGAACAAAAAATTATAAAGGGATTTGAGGAAACTATAAAGTAGGTATTCGAACAGTTAGACCAAAAACTGTTATAAATTACAATAAATATTTAGATTAAAGTTTAGTGAAGTAGCATAAAATTATATGTTTCCGACGAAGCAACATTTACGCTGTGTGGGAATGTAAATTGCCAAAATTTAAGATATTGGAGTGAGGTAAATCCACACTGGATACGTGAAAACCATACTCAAAGACAATAAAAACTAAATGTATATGGTCGGATATAGTTGGTTCTCAGTTAATTGAGCCGTTCTTTATAGAAAAAATTTAACAAGCGATAACTATGAAACTTGGAGCCAAGCCAGTTTGAGATATGGTTTCAACAAGACGAAGCTCCGGCTCATTTTGGTGTAAATGTTCTGAGTTATTTATATCAGACATTTTCCGGATGATGGATTGGTCATCATATTTTCTCAAGTTTAAGCGAAACGAAAAATGTAAATAGACGTCACTTTAAAGTTTGTTAAATGTCACTTTATGTTTAATGAACTACTGTAGAGGTACATCATATAAAATGTTTTGTATAAGAGTATAATATAACTGTATGGAAAAATAAAGTCGTTGCTTCTACCCTTTTCTTTATCATTTCATCATATTTTCTTACAGATTAGACCTTTCTAGGATTTTAAATATTTCAAAACCAAAATTGGTCAAATCGATTTAGTCGTTCTCGATTTATTATAAAAACAATAATAAAAACATAAAATGATGTTTGTTAATCGTCATTTTATGATATTTTATACATATATGGATCAAATGAACTAAAACTGTAGAGGTGAAGTTGTATAAAACATTTTCCATTTACAATTAAAAAAATAATGGTCATTCATCGAGATAAAAAAGGTCCTAAGTTGGAACAACAAATACACCACAAAATTCTATTGCAATCGGTTCAGTGGTTGTTGAGTATTAGCTTGGGCAAACACCGTGCCACGAGATTTTTATATATAAAGATTTAATATACATTTTCATCAAGTACCCGCCAATTCCATAAATATTTTATGTTTTCCTCTATATATTCTAACTTTTGTCTTTTATACCATCCAGGACTAATTTGATCTTTATTTTTGTAGCCAATCCGCCATTTACTAAGAAGTCTGGAGTAAAGAAGGCTTCTTTATTTGTTTGGATGACGCTGCAAAGTGTTCCGGAAGAAACAATTATCAGTCCACATATTTTAGAGTTTTTGGAACAGACTTTAGAACCAATTCCCATAAAGACAATGTCAGATACTGGTAAGATTTTTTGCTTTAGTTCTTTAAAATGCATAGTTCGTATAATCAACTGTTATACAACAAGAGTTGATGAACCATGTAATAATTACTAACGAATGGTTAAAAAGAATAGCAGTGGGTCGTTTATTATCAAGTTATTTTTGTCATACATTTATTCCTCTACATGTATACCTCTATTAGCATAAAATTTATGGTCACCTATAAACAACGCCACTGAATATAAAGTGGTTGACAGGATTATTTATTTAGACAGCTCCTTCAATAACGAGAGCTGTGAACAGAAGATTCGACGACGTATTGAAGATAATAGAGATTAACAGTCCACTACGTTTCTGCAGTTTCATATTTTTAAAATATTAATATTTCAGAATTTTCTAATAATTGCAGTGAATTCTCTAGTAAATGGACATTATTCGTTCCTTATAAAGTGTTTGTCGAAGGGAAGTATACGTCCAAGAGACAAAATGAAATATATTAACATAAAATATTTTAACATTATAAATATATGACTACGTGTACAGATGCATTTATTAAATAAAAATGCAGTAACAATATAAATAATATATACACATAGTTTCAAAAGTTATGCATCATCCCTTGTATTCACGACTCTTACACTTTTATAAACCTGTATCCTTATCACATATTTAATAAGCTTTTTTCATGTAAAATACATCTTTTTTTGTTTTCTTATTTTATTATAATATCCATTTAATTGATCTGGTTTTGCCAAGGTGTAAACAGTTAAAAAGTTTATTCTGGTAAAGTTTGTGGAAATTCTGTTTCTGAGTTGGACCGTGCAAGAATTATTGCTTTAGTTGAAGAAGAACATTCACAGCGAATCGTGGTAAAAAGAGTGGGAAGTCAGAGTGATGTCTGACGGATATGGAATTGGTTTCTACAGACAAATTCGATCTAGAATAGAGGGTAGATCCCGAGTTACGGATGAGCAATAGAGTAGGTATATCAGAGTTTGCATTCGGAGAAATTCTTCTGTGTGTACCAGCCCTCCAAAGAGACTTCAAGTATGCTCCAGGAGTCAGAATATCGTTGGCAATAAGAAGAAGAGTTTTCGAGTCAGGTTTGAGGATTCGTCGATCAATAAGAGTTCCTCAGTTACAACCTAGACATATTTTGCACCGCCTCCAGTGGGCTCCAGAACATATAAAGCTCCCTCAATAGTTTTGTAATTTTGTGCTTTTTTCAGACAAGGAGAATTCGTATTTGGAGAGATCTAACAAGAGCTGCACAACTATCACATGCCGATCCCATACTTCCTTTCGCTTGTGACAGTGTTATGTTTTGGGCAGGTAGTAGGGTAGATGGACGCACGGAATTGGTGGTTATTGACGGGACTCTAACAGGACAAAGGAACATCACAGATTTTATAACCTCATGTGACATTATGGCAAAGAGCTGTGGGTGAAAATGTTGTATTTAAGGGAGATAACGCCCGCCCACATAGAACTCAAACGGTTAATGACTATCTTGAGACAGAAGGTATTCGCCGTTTTGAGAGGCCTGCGATGTCTCCAGACATGAACCCCATTGAACATGCATCGAGGGCTGTTCATGGCGGAAAGAATCCTCCTAGAACCCATCATGAACTTACAATTGCCTGTAGAGAAGAATGGGAGAATCTGCCACAGAAAATGATTGATCGACTTGTTAGCAGTATAAAAAGAGATAGACTTGTTAAAAAAATAATTTTTTTAATGTTTAATTTTGTATTTATTAAAAGAAAACAGTACCTCTTTTAAAACAAAAAGTATCTGTCAACGTTATATTTTTTTATAAAGGATCTATAACAGTAGTTGCTGAAAATAGTTAATAATAACGAAAATTTAGGGCGATGCATAACTTTTGAAACTATGTGTATAAAAAAGTAAATATATAATTAATATAGGTAAATATTTATATTGTTTGTCATTTAAAAAACTTTGTGTGTTCAGACAACGTTGCAAAAATCTCGTTTACCTGAAACTATACAATACTTATATCAGGATTTTCGGTCAAAAAAAGTTCCATCAATTCCATATAATCTAACAAATCTGTGGAAAGTTGTTAGCTTTTTTCACACAACCCAGAAAGTGGCAAATCGGTTTCGGAATTTTCTTCTTTTTCAGGCTCAATTTTGATCTGTGTATCAAGAAGTCGTTGGTAGTTTTTATTTACACTTTCTTTCATGAAGTCACGGTCCCACACGAATCATTGGTAATGTTGAAAATCTTTCCAATTCCCCTATAGAATTAAATGGTTCCATCGACGACGGTAGCCATCAAATTAAAAACTTCCTGTAATCGTTTTTAAAATATTTTATGGTTATTTGATTAAGGAACTAGCATTCAGATGTAGTCTTCGTAAATAAAAATATCAGTTTACCATTAGATAATGCAAGATGTGAATGAGAAGTCCTATTATTCAGGAATAAAAGTGCTTTTTCGATTTATAATTTTTCTTGTCATCCATGACTTTTTATTTTGATACTGTCTCAGAGAGAGTACTGTTTCATTATAGTGAGCAATTTTTTTAAAAGACTGAAACCACTAATAAATCTACAGTTGCTGCTTCGTCCCATATATTTGAATTAAATAGTGGATCACTTAAAAAACTTCTTGAGCGTTCCATTAGAAGCCTGCATATTAAAACTTAGTTCCTTTGCAACTTCTAATGTCTTTTCTTGAATAATTTTACCAGAAACAGAAAGATTTTTACAAAGCACTCTACAAAATCAATCGAAAAAATTTTACGTAATGCAACATTCTTAGTTATTAAATAATTTTTTATATGTTCCATGTTTGTACTTTTATAAAATTGTTAAATAACTTTTACGAGTCACAATTTTAGTGACCTAACTTTTTTTAATTCCAAACTTTTCTACCAAATTCCTAACGCTTAATTTATACATATACTTCGCATAATGGATCATATCGACCTTTCAAACTTAAACAGCTTCTATTTGTGGATATAAAGTTTGTGAACAAAAAGATACGTTTTAATTTTTATCTTAAAAACTATCGGTATGGAGGATGTCTCTATTGAATATGGCCGTTAGAGGAGAGTTGACTGTATTTTTGTTGCAAGTAACTCATCCTTCATCGACCATTCTTATAATTGTGGTATAGCAAAACCTATTTTAATTTATTTTATTTATTATTATTTACAATATTATTTTTAGATACATCTCTTTTAACTACAGAACAAGATCTAACTAATTATGGAAATTACGTTTACGCTAGTTTTCCAGTTGATGTAATAGTATATTTCCACATGCAGCCCAGTACTTTTAGATTCAGCTGTTTACCAGTATCAAGAGTCGAGTGTCTACTTCAACTACCATCACTAGATATTGTATTCAGTTCTAAAAGAGCTGAAGATGAACTAATTTACAGGTAAGTACAGCATTAAACAAATATTCACAATAATTCCATTCAAATAAACACTATCTTTCAGTTTATTGTGATTAAAAACAGATAATATTGACGTTTATTATAAGAAATCATAAGAGGCGCATGTCAAGTAGGTAGAAAGAAGTTTGGCAATCTGTTCATCATTCAACAATTAATTGAACGGTCAGAAGGTTTAGGGAAACTGGATTACACGTCAGAGAACGTGGTCAAAATAAAAAAAGCCACAAATTGGACGTTAAAAAGTTGAAAATGTACTAGTAAAGAGTTAAGTAAGCAACTTGCACCTGTATAAGATGTCAAATTGTTGCTTTAATTGTCATAACATCAAAATAAGCTAGATTGGTTAGTAAAAGACCTGCTATTGCATCGTTGTTTACCATATATCACAGATAAAGCAGATTAAGGTTGGCCAGTGAAGGGGCATATTGAACTATCCATGACTGGAAGAAAGTTTTGTACACAGATGAAACCAAAGTAAGGTTTCGGTTAGGATAATTGAGAAAGGTTTTGTGAGAACACTATCTCTCCAAAGAACCATTAAGAAGATAGTGTTCTCAAAATGTATCAAATGTATCAGAAATTCTCTGGACTTCTTTGGACGATAGTACTTCAAACTACATCTTTCACTTCATAGTAATGAAGTATTTATTGACTAAAAATAAAGTAGATAGTTTAGGATTGATTTCGTTACAGCGTACCACCATTCGCTGATATGCATATTTCTGCCTTTTGGCGTACTTAGAGCGAACTCATGGTAAGATCTAACGAAGTAAAACCTTTTCTATCCATAAAAGTAAATATATAAAATATTTACCAACAGATGCTAGAGCGACATCTACTAACGAGAATAAAAATGGAATTCAGGATTCAATCCAAATCTGTGTTTTCTAAACGTTGCAAAATAAACACGAGGATTTATAACTTGTATCCACGTAATGCCAATTCGTCTAGGCAGAAATCCCTTCATGAAAACGATTTCTTAATACTCCATACTAAAGTAAAATGTAAAATAAAAGTAAAACAGACAGTTAAGGAATACAGTCAGTACGTTAGGAAATCGTTTTTACGAAGGGATTTCTACCTAGACGAATTTGGCATGACGTGGATACAAATTATAAATCCTCATGCCAGTGTATTCATCGTCTGCTTGTTTTGCAAGGTTTACAACACACAGATTTGGGCTGAATCCTGAATTCGATTCCGAATTTATATTCTCGTTAATTATTAATTACTATTTAACTGGGAATAAGCCACAATTAAAGGTAAAAATACGTTTATTGACGTTTCAATTTCCACTTCGGAAATCGAAATACGGTTTGTATTTTGAGAACGATTTCCGAAGTGGAAATTGAAACGTCAATAAACGTATTTTTACCTTTAATTGTGGCTTATTCCCAGTTAAATAGTAATTAATTTAAAATGCCACAAGAAAATAGCTTCAGAACAATATTAAAAAACTGGTTAATTATTGACTATTTATTATTTTTGTAACATAGTCTTATGTTAACTATTAATATCAATGATTGTTATTTATTTCCATTTTAGCGAATTTGGCGATGGCTCACCCAATACAGCTGCCACTGCTGTAGGAGGTTTAAGTGTAACTAGCTGCTTGTCTGATTTTTCGGTATACGTGTTTCATCCATATGGTGGGAAAAAGTCAGCAATTAAAGAAGCTCAATGGTCACCATTATCTGATAGCGAGAGAAAAGATTCATTGTCGGTAAACGTTGAGTTTGTCAAATTTCATTTATCACGTTCGAGAATGTTAAATTTCAAGCAAGAACCGACAAAAGGGAAGGGAGTAGATCAAAGTCGAGCTGTTATCAGATTTTCCAGTAAGCTTTTACAAATATTTATAATACGTTTACAACTCGTTAAAATGAAATTCTTTGCTATGTAAATATCAAAATATCGCAAGAATGAAGAATCTGATAAGTGGAAGATCAGTGTATATGTATATAGGTGTATATTTTTTTACTGAAGCAATCTCGTCCTAATTCTATAGTTTCCAGGTTTTAAAGTTTTGGATTTGATATTGACTAAGTATATAGATATACTAAAGCTGAATTTTCACAGATCCGATATCCGATGACACGAAATACGAAATTTTTTTTACGCCAATATTTTATTGTCGTATCCAAAATGTTTTGACGTATATGTCATATATATGGTTCATGTGTCAGAATATTGGATGGATTGATATTTATTTCAATGAACTGTCAATAAATATATTGAAATATTATATTGAGCTACGTTCTTGTCGTTTTTGCCTCACATAATGTTGAAGACCCAAAAGCAACACTTCATTCATTACATTTATATAATAATTAGGTCTTTTATTAAAAATCCTTTGTAAAAGGTATATATTTTATATATACCTTTTACAAAGGATTTTTAATAAATTTTTAATATATGGTATACAGCCAACTACAGGAACGTAGATTCCTTGTGGAAATTAGGTCTTTGTTCCATTTTAAATATATTTCAAATAGTAAACATAAACCCTCCACAAAAGTAAGGTTAAGGTTCAAGTTAAAATGTCAACAATGTCAAAATTCATCCGATTTTCGTGCAAAAGTTTAAATATTTTTAACTTCTTCTGATGACTTTAAATTTGGTACGAAAATCCCACCTGTCATTTTTCAACCACTGATATTAACTGAAATTTATATCGTATCGTCGTACCGTCGAATATCGGATCTGTGAAAATCTACCTTTAGCTTATATATTTGTGAGTGGTGTTGGTTTCCGATTAACATAATGCCTGTGCCATTACTCTTAACACATTGGGGTATGAACACTATTTGCTTCTTATTAGCTTCCAAATTAAAAGTATGATTACTAATTTTTGTTCCTAGTTGTTATTTCTGTCTGATTTTTATGCAGTGTTTGTTGTAGATTAAGGATCAGTTCAGGATCACTTTCAAGCAACGATGTAATATACTATACTCCATTCGCTTAGCTCGGGCATATTTTGACAGATTCATTGTCGGAAACCTACAACACAACAATTCCTACTTCTCAGTATTAATAGCTCAATTATAGTACTATTGCAGACTTCCTTCTTTGAAAAAAGAAGAATCATTCTAAATAGTGGAAGTGTATAATAAACCCATCAAATTTTGGGTAGTATATATTTAAAAAATATATTTTAGTTGTTATAATTTAACATAACTATTTGTTATATGGTGCAGATAAATAAATATTGATTGTCGGTAATTCGCAAAGTTCTATTTTATCTACTATTTAGTTTGTTTACTATTAATGTTGGCTATGAGTACGTGTGCTTGGTTGTATAGTAATTTTCAGCCACTTTTAGTCTCTCAAAAAGTAACTACCTTCGCAAAAAAATAATTACTAAATTCACTAAACAGTTCGGACTATGAATAAATATTTGCGTTCAAAGTATATAATAACAATGGCCGACTCATATCTAGGCATCACATCATCAAAAGTGGAAGATCAACTAAATATAGTAAACAGTGCTACAGGTTTCTTGGATGAAACAATATGGAGAAATAAAAATATCGAGAAAGAAATTAAAGGCAGAATTTAAAAAACAGTCATCAGACCCATAATGACAGAGAGGGGGCAAAAATAATGTTAGAAGCGGCAGAGATGAAGACACTCCTTCCCCAATAGGAAGACGATCCGTAGGAAGACCACGAAAACGATCGAACGACAACTTACCAAAGGCACAATAAAACCCGACAGAGTCATGTCTATATAAAAAAAAAGAAGAAGACATTAATCATCTGTCAAATACACGCCGGACATTGTAGCCGATAATGTGACGTCAGTTCCGTCGTTGATGAGCTTCACGTAAAAATATCAACATCCGGAACATCCATGCTTAGTATATTACATCGTTGCTTTCGAGATATTTGGATCCTCATTATTGGAAGTTTTCTGTTAGTGGAGGTGAAAAGCACAAGATTGTGCTTTCCGCCTCCGCTTTTCTCCGCGGAGTGACTTTTCGAAGTGCTAGTTCTTAGAGATTTCTATTGGTAATAAGAATAGGTAGTCTTTTATTTTGCTAAAGTTTTTCTTCTGATCCTTCTCCGTAATAGTAGTACATTTAATTTATACAATAATGTGGAGTACTTTTCTTTAAAATGTTATCATATATTATAATATAATATAATATAGAATTAATATTATAATATAGAATATTAGAATATAATTCATGCATATATTTCCAATAACAAAGTTACCTTTTTCTCTCCAGACCATTTTTCGGCGCTATTTCTATACTAGGACTTTTAGGACTCCCTTTCATTCTTTGAAAGCATGTAAATCTCCTACTATTCTCCCAACTTGGTTTTTACCATAGTATCTATGTATTTATTTAATTATTTTCCTACTTGTGGCATATTGATCAAGCCCTGCATATTTTTTATGTCCTGAGTTTATATCTGTAAGCGCGATAATTCTTGGAGGTAAACAAGAGTCGCAAATTTTTAGTATTTTGCAGGATAAATCAATTTAATTTTAGACACTCTCTACTTCTACTTCTATCATCTACTTTTTTATTTATAGGGGTATTCGGTACAGTAAACCAAATTAGTACGCACTATCGAGTTTTCGTGTAAAATATGTACATATGTATAACTTATAATTATAATAACTTATACTATAGTAATATATAATACTCTATATTATTTTTTAGCTATTATCGACATCGGCTCAGCGTCTTTCAAATATGATATGAGGAGACTCACAGAAATTTTAGCATTTCCTAAAGCTTGGTATCGACGATCTATAGTGCGTCGAATGTTTTTAGGAGATTTAAGTTTGTCGACACCTTTTAACGAAGAAGATGAGTCTTTTTCGTCACACAACGCTTCTCCGAATTTATCACGAGGTCAAGAGAGGTAATAAAATAATAATAAATTTTAAGTAAAGGAAAAATTATTTAAATTCTTTATAATACGTATATTTATTTTTTGAGGTCCAGCAAAACAGATAAATCGCCCCATCTAAATACCAGTGACCGCCACAAAATGAATTTGGATTCTGATCATGCGCACCATAAATTGAAGGACACAGGAAAAACTTTGAGTTCAGATTCGAACCCATGTGATACTCCTAACGTATTGGAGCATAAAAATTCTTCAGCATGGGAAACTTTGGTGCTATTTGCTGTGAATTTCAAGAAATTAAATGTTCACATGAATATGGGAAATGTCATGGGAAATGTTTCGTAAGTTATTGTTATATAATTTGTTTAAATGTTGATAAAAATATCTATTATTTTTTGTAGTTGGTTAACGAGAGAATTTAGAAGTGATGGTAGATTGAGTATAGGCTCGACGGGACATAAGAACTTGTATATTGCGTTAGGTTTGGGAGGTTCTGGATTAGATGCTAAAGGTGGTATAGTTGGTGGAAATATCGAGATATCTCGAATAAATACATATAGTAAGTATACTTAATCAAACATATATATTTTATAAATATTTTAAATCATTATGGGTAGTCTTTTATATAAAAGTATTTTCAGTCGCGTATGCTGATATATATCTTATTAAAATAATGAGTACACTAGTGCCCAAAATTTTGGAAACTTTATAAAAATTTTAGTTTTGTTATCAGCATTCCTTTTTCACAAGATTTATGTTATAAAAATTTATCTATAATTTTATTGCATGATTTTAAGATTTTACTTAATATTTAATATCTACTTTAAGAAGAGAAGCCCTCTAAAAATTTAAAAATAAGTAAAACAACAGCCGTTAGCTATTAGTAGATATATTAAAAAAAAATGGTACGATGGTTATTGTCAAGAAAATTAATATTTGGTGGGATAACCTTCGCTTTTTAGGACAGACTTGATTCTGCGAGTCATGGAGTTCATGAGACGAGCCAAATCTTCTAATAACTTCTGTAATAACTCTAAACCAGTTTTGAATAATGTCTTCTATCAGTTTTCACTTGTTACTTGGGTTTCGGTGTGATCATTTTCAGCCTTGACCATAAATTTGGATTTAGATCGGGACTATTTTCACGCCAAGGCAGGACAGTAACCATTTTTCAACAATTCCATGGAAGTATTATCTGCTCCATCCTGCTGGAAGATTCATCGTTGGGCATCACCTTCTCAAACAAAACTCTGATAGTCGGCAGCAGTTTGACTTGCAGTATCTCTTCATGACATTTTTTTGCATTAACATTGCCCTCTATTACAGCTAAACGTTCAACTCCATTAGTGGTCATACAATTCCATACCATGACACTCACAGGATGCTTCATAGTGACCGTAGTACACTGGGGCAAAAAGTCTTTTCCCGGTCGGCGGCGAAACTTCACTCCGTCACTCCCAAAAATCGAGATTCTGGTTTCATCACTCCAAATTACCTTACTCCACTGTTCTTCTATCCACCTTTTGTTTTTTGTTCAGGTGCGGCTTAGTTCTGGGAGTTCGTGCTCGCAATCCAGTTTAACACAACTTTCTTTACAAACTTCCATTACACCTGATTGTGTGGCACCACCACCCAATTTGTTTGCTATTTCTTGATATGTGTAACTTTCTTCTCGAAGGATAATAGCTCCAACTCTCTTTCTTGGCTACCAGTCAACACATTTTGGGATTCTTGGTGCCATTTTCGTTGAATCAACACTGATATATTTCTCTACGACAATTAAAAAATATCACCTTGGTAACAACTACCTGAAGTCACTAATAAAGCACTGGAAGTCGCACGAAACGTTGGGTTGTTGACTAACTAGTCAACATATTGATTGCCGATACAGTATTGCCAATATTGCCATTCACAAATCTCGAATTTTCGGCTTTTCGCTTGAATCTGTTTCCATGTTTTATTAAATAATTATAATATATATATATATATATATATATATATATATATATATATATATATTATATATATATTAATAAAGTATTCAACTAGTGAATTCAGAGGTTTTAATCGGCCATTCAGGTTGGCAAAATAAAAAAAGAAGTCAACTACTCCATAAGTTTATCGAAGACGTTTCGCTTTATAAATATGAATCTATGGAGAGAGACCGGCCCAAACCAGGCTCCAAAGAATTCTATAAAGCAATTGAGAAAAGAGGACATAAAACCAATTCCATCCATACACTGAGAGACAATCAAGGCCGTATGATAATCGACGGTAAAGAAGTAACTGAAGAATGGAAAAAGTATTTTAGGGACCTTTAAACATCATACAGGAAGAACAGCACGAAGAAGATATCTATATCACAGCGGACATGCCCGTCAAAAATGCCTCCTTTGAAGAAACCCAAAAGGCCTTAAATAAGCTGAAAAATCACAAAGCGCCGGGTACGGACGAGATACCAGCAGAACTCCTGAAATATGGGGGAGATGCACTACATCGCGAAATCCACCAGCTAATAACGCACATTTGGTTAGAAGAAGAATACCAGCACGATGGAAGGAAAACATAATAGTGCCCATCCACAAAAAAGGGGACAAAACAAAATGCTCGAATTATAGAGGAATCTCACTTCTAAACACTTTTCATATAAAACCCTCTCAAACATCATTCTTAGTAGACTAATCCCTTATGTTGAAAATGTCCTAGGCGAATATCAAGCCGGGTTTAGATATCTCAACAATCTAGATCAACAATAGATCAACTATTCACGCTGAGACAACTTCTAGAAAAGGGATGAGAGTATAACAGAACTGTAATAACATACGGATGCGAAACGTGGGCCATGACCAAAGTAAACGAAGAAAAGATCAGACGCTTGAACGAAAAATACTTAGAAAAATTTTCGGACCTCACCATTACATCACCACAAACCAATATAAGAAATTAAATCACAGCGACTAAGAGGGCAGTCCACGTGCACAGACTGCATAACGAAAGACTTGTAAAACTGGTAAGGAAGGAGATTCCCACAGGCAAAAGACCACTCGGACGTCCCAGAATGCGATGGAGAGATAACATCCAAACAGATCTCCGGAAAAAAAACATTCCATTTGACCATAGGTTGATGGAAGACCGAACAAATTGGAAAAAAAGTTGTACAGTCAGCCAAGACCCACCCAGGGTTGTAGTGCTACGTGATGATGATGATGATGATGTTTCGCTTTATATTTTTAAAACTTCATCAGTTCTCTAAAATGCAATAGATGACATAGAGTTTATAAGAAATACAGATCTAATAGTTCATAACTTACAACTCAATATGTAGTATATTAAAGATGTTATTATATATGTACTGAAGTTTACTCATTATTTAGAACTAACTTAAAAAAAAAAAACACAAACAAAGAACACTCGAAAGAACTTTGCAAAAAATATTGTTCATATTCGTAGATTCGAAGATTTAAAAAAATTTTAAACTGACATTTGGCTTCATTTAGAGATGGTTCTCCAATGAAGACAAACAAAACACTGATTTATTGCAATCCATTGCAATATATGCAAACGACGTGACGCGATACCGAAAATTTTTAAGGGTCATATGTTCAACAAATTCCAAAGTTTGAGACAATTATGAACTTCTACAGGAATTAATTACATAATTGTCTCAAACGTTTAGTTCTGGATTTAAATATTCTCTTCCAGACCTATTGCGACAATAATGACTTTTATTTTGGAAAGCTATGTGTTACATAACCAATTGTTTTGTCTCTTCTGGAATTTAGTGCTTAGGTACATGGTGACTGATTACCAACCCAGTCGCATTATTAATTTCCTTTTTTGTTGAATTTCGGACTATTTTCTCAGAGATGGCAAGACTAGTAATAAAAAATGACTTGCTCACCTTTTTTTTAGATCCGTTTGAGAGGAGAGTGTAAGTGTAAGAATGCTGTCTTCAGTCCTTTTGATTGTTATTTCTTGGACGCCTTCTGCTAACAGTACTCACATCAACTGCTTGTGCAATAAATTAACGTCTATGGTCCCAGTCTGTCAGACTTTTCCAGAAACTATTAAATATTTGCGTTCTAATATTATACTATATATTAGTAGTACATTTAAACTTACATAATCTATTGCACGAGGAACCTACTTCTTTAACTTTTTTTCAATTTATTTTTAAAACTTACATATTCCTCTCCTAATCGTATCTTCTCCTTGGCCAATTTATTAGCCAATAATGTGATATCAGTTCCGTCGTTAATCAGCTACATGTAAAAATATCAACTTGTTCCATCCTTAGTATATTACATAGTTGGTTGATGTGGTAATTCTAAATAAAAATAATATTTTTTTGGTTCATTAGATCCATGAGATAGCATTATTTGTGCCATTTCATTGTTTTTCTTTTTTGTTCCTGATTTCTATTAAATATTCATCTTAAATGTTGCTTATTATTTTTATGATGAATCATTTTGCTGCTTATTAACTTAACCAAAACTTTTAACCAATGTTTTTTTAATTTATTTTTTAATTTTCAGTTTACATCAGAGAAGAAGCGAATGTGGAACCAGATCACAAAGTATGCTTACGACTACACGCTCTTGAATTAAGGCTAGATTACATGGCGACATCGGTGCTGATGTGCAGAGTTAGTGATTTAAATGTCAATCTAAGAGATGAATGGAAATTGAACAAGGTTAACACGTCTAGAGATTCTTTCATGCCCACCAGAAGGTACTTTAATTAAACAAGTTTTATTTTATAATTTGTTTTGTTTAGAGGTATCAATATTACCTTTTTGAAAAATAAAAAATAATTTCGATCATATATTTAGTAGTAGTCCGGCCGATGGGTACCTTCATGTATGCATAGGAGGGTGGATAGTTTAAAGCTACTCTATCTTAGGTTATGGGTAATCCAAATATAGGCTATTCTATATTTAGGTTACCCATCTCCAAAAGTGGTACCAATTTTTACAAACAATTTATTGGTGTTGGTAGTTTGGTTTCTTTAGATTTTAGACTTTACCAAAACATGAGAGGTCACCACAAATGTGGCGTGTATTAAATGAATTTTCCCGTCATCGTTAGGATTTTTTTGAGGCGATGTTGGTTTCATTTTTATTGGCAGATCTTGAAATTATATTTAAAAGATATTTTCCCTCGTCGCCTTCTTATCTTGAATAATAACTAAAATATGAATAAAATTGTATTGATATTGTTACAAATGTTAATACACTCTGGTCTCTTTATCTTAATCAACGTCGTTAGTACTCTAATACTTTTTTAATGATTCGTAGAAAAATAAAAGACCCAATCCTGCGATGAGCCTACTACGCACTCGTTCCTAAAAGTGCAGTTTTGAGTTGAATATTTATTAAAAATAATAATTGAACAAGTTTTAAAATATCAATAATAAAATTTTTGTTTATTTAGACCCGCAAATATCTTCATGCACGGAGTACTTGGTTGGGATCAACTCCAAATGATTATTTCCAAATCTACAACAGCTGATCTGCTGAAAATGTTTAACAAATTAGAAGAATTCTTTTCACAACAGTTTAACAGCAGCAAAAGAGCTTTTAGTAGTTTCGCTGGATCAGGAAGACCTTCTAGAGTAACTCCACAAAAAAGTTAGTATATTTTATAGTTGGTTTTTAATTTGTTTAAAAAAATAAAGATATACAAACATTTCGTTTTACTAAAAAATAGTGTGAGATTTATTTATTCAATTGTAAAACATCAAAAAAATTGTTGCTTAGTGTTCGATCCTTATAATAAAAATGTTGCTCATAGGGTCGATGTTATTTAAAATTAAACTGACTGACGGATGTACAATTACATTAGAATTATGTAAAATCAGTTTGTATTAGATAACTTTAATATAATATATATTATTTATATATTTAAATTCATAGATCGAGAATCGTCAGTACCTCCTCAACTTCCTGCAGCTCCAACTACGGATGCCAGGCACCACAGACATTGGCAGAAAGTCTTGGCACACGTAGCAGGGCTTCAACTTAAAACAATGCCTCTTCCTTTGCCCTCATTTGGCACTGTTCTGGGTGGTACAATGGAGTTACAAGGAAACAACATTTCGTTGGCGTGCTTCCATGGAATTAACTTCAAAAGCAAGTCGTGGGCTTTGTTTAGTTTGAAAGAGCCTTGTATCAATTTCAATACGGAGAGCCAAGAAATTCCTGCAAATGTATCTCCAGGTATATAATTATTTTTATTAGTATTATGAATAGAGTAACATAATTTCAATTTTAGATGAGATTCCTAAGCAAGATGTTCATGTGGTGCAAACATTAACCTGTAGTTTGGGTTTAAGCACATATAAAACACATTTATCAATGGCTACTGTGTGCAAAGTTTCAAGAACTGTAATATTTCCTCCTCAGTTTAAAAGTTTACAAGAATGGTTCCATTATACGTTCTCCAACAGTCAAATAGATGGTAAGATATATTTTGTTATATAGGTTATTCTATGACGAATTTAACAGGATAGATTTGGTCTGTACTTAGTACCTTCTTATGGTATTTTTTAAATTTATATATGAATTATCTTTAAATCATTTATTTATCGTATGGCAATTACAACATATTTAGAACAAAATTACAAACACGAGTAATATAGGTATATGACAAACTTTAAATAGTTACAAACAAACATCAAGTGTATTAATATAATCAATTGACTCTGAAGTTGCAAACAGGAAGTCTTCAGGGCTACCATTGTAGGATCTCTTTGATAATGTGGTCGATCGTTTGGTTTTCCCCACAGACACATTTAGGAGACGGATTCTTTCCCCATTTATGTAACATGTATGCACATCTGCCATGTCTGGTTCGAATCCTATTTAGAGTGGAACATGTTTTACGTGGCAGATCAAAACCTGGTGGCTTGTGGGTAATGCAGGGCATGTTATTTTGCCATGCGTTCCATTCTTGGGACTATGCATTCGTGATGTTGAACTCCTCATGTATCATTCTTGCCGTTTTCATTGGTGGTTTTCTTGAACGTAGACGGGTATTTCGTGCATCCTCGGTATCTTGGTGGACCGGTAGGTTTATATTGTTCATGATCTTTTTGTATTCACGTGTAAGTGCGTCAACCCGTCGAAAATGTGGAGGTGGAATGTGACTTAATACTGGAAGCCATTGGGTGGAAGTTGATTTAATTGTACCACCTATCATCCTCATAGTGCTGTGCAGCTGAGTGTCGACGTTTTTTACGTGTGGACTGTATAGCCAAACTGGAGCACAATATTCAGCGGTCGAGAAAACAAGGGCTAAGGCAGTAGAACGGAGAGTGGAAGCCGATGTTCCCCAGGTGGTACCGCAGAGCTTCTGTATAATGTTATTTCTTGTACTCAACTTTTGGGCAGTTTTTGTTAAATGCTCTTTAAATGATAGCGTTCTGTCTAGTGTTACGCCCAGGTACTTCGGTGTTTTGTTGTGGGAAAGTGCGGTATTTTCAAACCGTATGTTGAGTTCCTTTCCAGCAAGTTTATTGTTCAGGTGAAAGCAACTAACTTCTGTTTTGGATGCATTTGGTTGAAGTCGCCACTTGCGAAAATATTTGCAAAATATATATGTCTGCCGTCAGAACTTCTTCAGACGTTTCTAGTGTTCTGCATCGTGTAGTGAGGGCCCAGCATCGGTGTATCCGAACTTTCTTGATTGCGTTTCCGGCATATCTGCTAAATATAAGCTAAATAGTAATGGAGAGAGCACTCACCCCTGTGGTGGGCCATTCTTAAGTTTCTTTGGTGGGCTGATATCTGTGCCCATCACTACTTGAAACGTTCGGTCGTTGAGCATGCTAAACCTGCTATTTGTTTACAGGGGATTGCACGGAGAATTTTGTATATAAGGCCCTCTCTCCATACTGTATCGTAAGCTGCCGAGAGATCAATAAATGCCGCTGAAGTTTTAAGTCTTCTTTGGAAACCCGCTTCGATGTAGGTAATGAGTGACATTACCTGGTCCGCGCAGCTTCGTTCTGGTCGAAAACCCGCTTGTTCGACTGGGATCACCTGGAACAGTTCTGTACTGATTCTATTATATATAAGTATCTCTAATAGTTTGTAGATGGCAGAGAGAAGCGCAATTTGTCTGTAGTTTTGGGTTGTCAGCGGGTTTGCCTGGCTTTAGTATGGCTATTTTCTTAGAGTGCTTTAGTTCTTGTGGAATATTTCCAGTTTCCATGATGTCTGTGAAAAATCGAGCCAGCCAAACTTTTGTATACTTGCCACAATTTAGTAGGAATTCAGGGTAAATATTATCAAATCCTGGTGCTTTTGCTAGCTTAACGTCTTTAAGAGCCTCTTATATGACTTCGCTGGTGAATGGGAGAGAATGCTCCGTTTCTGTGACTACATGTTTTGAAGTTTTAAGTTCTGTTTTTACGTAGATGGTGTGTGCTTTATCCTTTGGTGCCCAGCATGTGTTTACTATATGTGATGCTACGGCATCTGGCTTTACGACTGCCTCTCGGCGTTTCGTACTGACACCACTCCCTAATTTTCTTAGTAACGACCATGCCTGTCTGCTTGATTTCTGGAAGTTTAGACTTTCTACTGTTTTGGTCCACTTTTGGCTTCTATCGGCGTCTAGGCTGTACAGTAGTTCATCCGCTATTTCTTGGTTGCCAGTTTCAACAAAGCTCTGATATAGTTCCTCGCTATTTTCCGACCAGCCAGGAATATATTATTTGCGATGTCCTCTTGGTATGTGTTTTTTAGCTGCACTTAGCACGGCACCAACAAATCTGTGGCAGTTTTTGATATTCGGTTTAATCCACCCTAGGCATTTATCCAGATCCGCAGAGAAGTCAATCCAGTTGGCCTTTTTAAAATCCCATCTTGGACGTGGGATAGAACTAATTAAAGGGATTTGCGTCCCTACTTCTATTATTGCTGGTCGATGTTGGATGTGTGGGAAATCAGTTAGAACTCTTCGTTAAGCCCCTATATTTAAATTAAAATTACAGATGAAAACATTTATATATTTTATTTATAAATCTTTCTAAATTACGGCTGTTCTAAGCTAAAACTGTATTATTAAATTTAACAAGGTGAATTATCCTTACTTTCTTGTACCTTCACAATATTTGTTGTTTTTTCACCAGATAGTATATACTTCTCCATTTTTTTTCTACGTCCTATTATCTTCTTCCAGTTATTATTCTTAATTCACTATTTCTTCTTTGGTTCGCTCTTGTTTTCTTAGATAGGAATCCACTCTGTGTTCTTACAATCTTATCTCACCCTTTCCTATATAGTATGAGGTTTGTCTTTTTAGTTTTGCATTCGCTGCTTAGAGGGTGACCAATAAAACCTTCCGACACAAATGTAACCTAAATTTTTGGACATAAATGGAGAGTTTTATTGAGATATAACAAGTCGTGTAGATACAGTGAATTTTTGAAATTAGCAAGTCGATCGAAAAATGGATCTTAGACTAGAATATTTTTGAGCAATAATTTTTTACAGTTGTCGGCGAGGATTATCCCAACAGCAATGTCTCGCTGAATTTTTTCTGTGTTTGGGAATGAAGCATCACAATAGTCAACTATTTTCCGCTGGTATTGGGAATTTTAACGTGGTCGCTCCAGTTCAGTATGGGTTCCGCATTTTGTACTTATATTTTGTACTTATACCTTTTACCTCTGTTTTGATACATATATTTTGTTTCCTCTACAATTATTTTTAATCTGTTGTGATTCGCTTTTTTTATAATAATTGTGATATATAATAAAACGGCAACTATTTCATCTTTTTGGCACTTAGCATACGTGAAACATTGCGTCATATTTTTATTTAGTTATCCAATATCCTTCATATTTTTAATTAATATTGTATTACTCTTTTTTTTACTTCTATATTTTTTGTTTATCCTTGTGCCGAAATATTTGGGTGTGTTCTTTCTCTCAATATAGTAGTTATACCTTGTACGCCACATTAGGCATAAAGATCCCTCTATAATTATTGTAGTAATGTCCATATTTGTTCTTATGTCCATATCCTTCGTCAAAGTTTAGCAATGTAATGTATTTATTTTCCTTCAATCTTCAGTAATTCTACGTTAATTTGGCCACATTATGCTTTGTATTTCTTCTTGTAAAAGTCCATTACTTCTAGGTTATTCTTATTATTCTCTTCCTTGGAAAATAGTTATAGTCATAATTATAGCAAAAGTAAACATTTGCATAATTATATGGTAGCGGAAGATTTTTTATTGTTTGCGCGAATCATAATCTGTAAAACAACTCTTGATTATTCGTAGAATATACACATAATTTTTAATTAACACATATGCAACACATTATGAACTAGCTTAGTTATTATTATTTTTGTTGACAGAAGTCGACAGGTTTCCTTCGTTGGAGAAAGAAAAAATGGACGGTTCGATGGAGAGAGCAAGAGGAGCTACGTCTTCTCCTAAGTTGGCAGATCACAATCATACCAGAGAGGTTATTTTTGCTCTTCCCAGTTTACAGTTTCATCTTAAAACTGAACATTTACAAACTGCTGATATTCCGGATATTTTAGGTAAAGTATTCTCTTATTTTAACTGATAAAAAAGTATACGTTTGAAATGTGTGGACATTTATTTCCACCTGGAAATAGAGTCCGACAAACTTAAGTTTGGGAATGTGACGTAGTGTTTCGCGCAGACGGCGGACCCTTTCTACCACTGGCAAATGGAAACCGGTAGCTTTAAAATAAATTTGTATAGATTAATATATTCAATTAATGTGAGAATGAATTTGTCAATTTTTATTTTTATAGTTTTTAATATTTATAGTCAGGCATTCGATAAAATAATGAGTAAGTATTAGGAGTACTTTAATAAATAACAAATTCCTCAATACTTAGAATTTATTAACATTGCCAGGAAGGAGGGAAGGGTTTCAACAACACAAAAAAAATAAGTAATTTATTTTAACTAATTAAATACTGTATTTATTTTCTAAACAGTAATGATTGTAAAGACTTTTATGTTTTGTTATATGGCAAAGCAATATTACGCAAAAACACGTCTATTCCGGAATTTGAATCACTATCTTCATTATCAGAAATGATTGCCTTTGCTTGGCTATTTAATCCCAGCCCTTTTGTTCCTATCTTTTTAGAAGCCATATTGTTAAATAACTATTATTAATAACTTAAGTTAAAACACTATAAATACACTAAATGGCTTAATAATTCACTAATTACTAATACCAATATTATACTAAGCACTAATCTAAAATAAAATAATAAAATATCCAAAACAATAAAATCAACACTCTGCGATACATAACTACGACACTGGAAAACAGCAAACTGGTCGTTTCTATGGCAACACTAGTAAACAAGAACCACTGCGCATCGATTTATGAGTCATATTCCCAAACTAAACTTTGTCGGAGTCTACCTGGACGAGAAAAGTCTAATGTCTATGTAAAACAAGTTAGTTTCTGGCTGTGTGGATATGCACCCTAACCAAAAAAATGACATTTATTTCAGAAAGTGTAACGGCTAGCTCACCCATTGCACATTGAAACCCCTCAGGGGTGATGTTCGGCATAAACTAACTTAATTTGAGAAATCGGGAATTATTAATAAAATAATTTCTTTAACACATATCTTTATTTATTTTTATTTTAATAAATCAAAATGTAATAACAATTAAATTGAGGTTCTAACAACAGGGAATTAAGCATCTATATACAAAATCTCAAGAAATAAAGAAACTTAGCTCTACTCTATGAAAAATCCTCCTGCTGTTTTCTTCTCAACTCGGACCATACAATGTCTGCAAAAACCATGCCGCTAAGCCGAAACCATGTGGATCCCCTCTCCAATCCAAAGCCATGCGGACTTTCAAAATCGAGATGGATTTCTTATTCAAAAAAAAAACAATTCCATTTTCGTATTCTTCGACCCAAAAAATCCATGTCAACGTAAATTTTCTTATATCATTTTCTTGAATAAAAATCAAGGTGGATTTTCGAGAATAAAAATTAAGGTGGATTCTCTTGAATAAAAACCAAGGTGGCCAGACCGTTGGAAGTTTCTGACCACGAGGACTTATTTTTTTAATAATACCTTCTCGTTTGCTGGTTTATTTTAAAAAGCAATTAAGTCGGATCAGATTGATAGAAGTAAATTATTTAGAAGTAGGGTTTCTGTTTCTTGTACGATAAAGCAAGCGAAGGTAGGACTACGAGGCGACTTAAGAAATTAATCAGCAGATTTATTTGTAATAGGAAAATATTGAAATAAAATATAGGAATACAAACAAAGGAAAAAGAACTTATTATCAATGAAAATAAAATAGTATGCGCAGAAAATAGTGGAAAGTACTTTGAAATTAATAAGAACAAAAATGTAACGTTTTAAACGTTACAAAAGAACGCAATAAGATGTTTTTCTATTAGATATTTAATAAAACTGAAGGTATCTTTCTGGTTTGGATCATGACTTTTTCGGATGAAGCGTGTTTTATCTCAACTTTGCGCTACACTTATATTTAACGTTTTCAAGAGCCACTTGCTTTCTGTCTTCCATCTTGTATGGTTTCGTATTACGATTACGTTTTACGATTTTTTTTTAATGCAAGCAGATATTTTTGGAAAGAATATGGGTTTTATCAAACACTATGAAATGTCCAGTTTCTTGGCAGTGTTCTGCTACTACAGAATTAAAGAAAAGACCAGATCTAATACGTCGTTAATACTCTTGGATTGTGATTTTGAAAAACCGGTCAGTTTCGTTGTATATATCGTTATTATAAATGATTTTTTACCGTAATTTCAAAATTGCATGTTGGGCTGAAGACAAAATAACACAGATTCTAAAAACTTTAAACTCCAACTTTTTTATCTTTAACTTAATCATCGTAAACATCTTCCAAACTAAAAAATGAGCTAGGTGCTTAATATTCCGTACGTGATATATATTAATCGATTCTTTTATTTTTAGGTGATAAACCAACGGTCGACTGCAGTTTTATAACGGAATTTGAAGATCATATTTTTGTTACTGTTGACGCTGAAGCATTTTTCTTTTTGCACGATTTAATAACCTCGTATGTTAAAGAGAAGGAAAGGGTGGTAAGTCGAATTCATAACACAGAGTAGTATGTAAGGGTAGGCATTAGTATTAGTTTTTTTTTCTAAGGTGAATGTTAGTAGAAATTTGATATGGACAGGTTGAAACTAGTATTTTTTAACTGTGGATTGAAGTTTATTAGGAAAATTACAAATTGCCAATTATATGAACAAGTCATAGGCTTTCTGTCTGGATTAAAGAAAGAACCATATACAAGGACATGATGGGAATCTATGTTCTCGATTTGAACGAAAAATTCTTATATATATATATATATATATATATATATATATATATATATATATATATACCGATATGGCAATTTTACAACGGTCGTATACTTTATTCAGTATGTGGAACAAAGATAGAACTTAATTGTTTGAAAACGAGTGAGACAATCCACGCATGTTGGAGTAACGAGTCTAAATTTTAAACAGTGTTGCAAAATTTCTGTTACATCGTTCCTTCTAAAATATCATGAGTGTAACATACTCGGATACATGAGTGTAACAATATTTAAATCCACTACAGTTTATTGTAGAGTAAAAATTAATATTTCCCGAACAATACGTACATGAAGTAATCATTTAATTTTTATTTTTTAAACGATTATATCATTACTTAATTAATTAAGAAAGAACACTGAATTTATAAATTGATATATGACAACAGCGTGAGCTAAATAAATAACGCTATTCAGTAGACATACAGATAGTATAAACGGTGTGCCCCTCTACTAGTGCATGATTTCTCCTCAAAAGAATAGGCGGTGCTTATCTGTACAACAGGTTTATGGTCTATCTATTTGATTTTTAGCTGTGGTGGTGAAAGGTTGCATAAATACCTGTATAAAATGCCGTCCAACGGATCAACCACGATCGAAACAAATCTCTGTTAAACGCGAAGCTCGCGAAATGCAAGTTTAAAATATTTTTTCTTCTTGTAGTTCCTATTCGTTTCGGATGTTGTAACGAAAATATTTTGCCTACCACATGGGGTATTATTACAAGGGGTAGAAAATTGGAGACTGAAACTAAGGGGGTGGAGATAAGGCAAGCAAAATAATCGCTACTTGTGCGAACGGCACTCAGGGTTTGTTAGGAGAACTGGGGTCGTGGATAAATTAAAAGATAAAGGGGTTTGGATTGGGGCAACCATAAAAAATGAAATAAAGGGGTCATTAATATCTTGGAACAAACAAAGCAAAAAGAAACAGGAAACACTTCAAGTAATTTAATATAGGGCGCCACTTTGAGGTGCCTAATTATACCTACTACAACCTCTAGTTTTAACTAGGGAAATAATTATTAAACATAAAAAACATATCTTTTTCAAATAAAACTCAAAAAAGGGTTAGTTAAAAAAATTAAACAAAATGTTACGAAAACAAAATTTAACATTTATTGTGTCTTACCACAAACAGTTACAACACATAGAGAATACACGAATACTCAAAAAAAAGACAATACAAAAATATTATCTCAATAGTCGCAAAATACAAAAAAAACTTACATGTTCATCTGTTTACAAAGAAGATTGCTACAAAATCTTTCAAAATGGCATAGAGGTTAACCTCCTTTAAAATAAAATAAACTAAAATCAAAAAATAATAAAACGTGCTGTCATAAGTTCACAATAAATTAAAAAAAAAACTAAACACACAAATTGACAGCTAAAGTCAAACTCTAAAATTTTATAATTTATTAATTATTATAAATCCTTTAAATTTCATTGAAAGCAATTATTGTTATTTAAAATAAAAGCTATTTTACTATGAACACATAATGCTACCTTTTAATTCACAAACTGCTTCAAAATTCTACCATGTTCTGGTATACTACACAATTTATTTTCCACTGCCACCACAAAAAGGGGCCAAAACAGAAAACTACAAATACGACGGTGAATTTGGATTCATACTGAGCCTACAGCGACCCAAGTAAGAATTGATCCACACCTGAGCTTACCGCGACCCAAGTGAGAATTTAGATCCATACCTGAGACTATGACGACCCAAGTAAGAATAACGAAATTCTCTTAAGAATTCGTTCACTAACTTGAAAATAAACAAACGCTGAAATAACAAAACACAACGAAAATTAAAACGTAAAAGATTCCATTTCTACGACGTATAAAAATTATAAGGCGACTTCGAATAAAACATTAAAAGAAAATGCCGAGAAAGTACTTACACATCTTTAAAATAATAAACAACTCTAAAATGGTTTTCAATACTTGGCGACGCTGAAAAGAACGAAATATTATTTGGGTTTCAAATTGAACGATACGAACGAAAGATACATTAAAAGATTTTTCAAACATATATGAGGGGATTTCAATATATTACATATACGAGGGGATTTCAATATATTTTAAAGAATCAATGAATTGCAAATGCTACAATGTTGGCGACCCTCATGACAATCTTTATTTTGCAAACTGCGGCTCTGAAAAGATTTGTTCTTGTTGTATTGAACCACGTACGCAGATTTTTCACCCAGGAAATCTTTCGCCTTTCTGGTCCCCGCTTTCCTTTTACTTTTCCTTTTAGAATTAATTGCAGCAACCCATATGTACCCTTTCGCTGTTCCGCATGATGCGACCGAGGTATTCGATTTTGGCTGTTTTTATTGTGGTTAAGAACTCTTTTCCTTTTTGAATTCTTAATAAAAACGTCCTGGTTAGTAACGTGGTCGGTATAGGATATCTTCAGGATTCGACAATAAAGCCAATTTTCTTGCAGGGAGCGTTTGTGACATGCCAGGACTCCCCTCCGTACAACAGTATAGGAATGATATAACATCGTAGTAACCTGATTAATGGGGTGTCTTAAAACTAGATTATTGAATCGTAATTTTGTATTTATTCGTATAACATGTACAAATTCGGTTATGTTGATGCACCTGATTGTAACTACTTACTATTATCTGCATATTTAACAACGTGGTTTATTTTAGCTAGTTCTAGTAATTTTTTATTATAGTTTAGGGTTCTAAATATTATGTATTAAATTTGCTTTCTTATTTTTAGCTGGGTGGTGTAGATAGACGTTCTGCCATCGACCAAGAAAAACCAAAATCTTTAAGTGAAACTCCAAAGAAAGGCTCTATCGACGTGGACATTTTCGCTAAAGATTGGCGTAATTACAACTGTAAAACGTGGCATCTAGAACCAACAGTACGGCTGTTAAGTGTAGCCGGAAAATACATAGAACCTTATGGTATTGATTATATTCTACAAAAATTGGGATTTTCTCATGCAAGAACTACGATTCCAAAGTGGATGCAAAGAGGTTTCATGGATCCACTGGATGCAATATTAGCTGGCTTAACCTTGAGAATGGTGCAAGTAGTAAAAGGAGATGGAAATAAAGAAAAAGAAAAGGAAAAAGTTGCAATTGAAGGGAAAAAGTGATAAATTGTTTGTAAATCAAGAGGCAGTTTTACTCTAGTTACCGTTATATAATATAGATTAGTTTAATGCTATATATTTGTGATATTTTGGGGTTGAGTATATCAATAGAAAAATGAAAGGAAATATCAAGAAGATATGTTAGAATTTGTATAGAAAATGTAACTTATATTATTTACTACTTTATTGTATACTATTGTGTTCCAGTTATATATTATTTATATCATACTTATGGTACCTACTGTTAAAATAGGGTTTTTTTTGTATTTATTTTTGACTGAAAGATGTATTATCATTAATGGATAAATAAAGCAACTATAGAGTATCTCATACTTTTCTATTGAAACCTTTATAGAACTATTCACCATAATTTTTTTGGTACATGATAGGGACCATCTCAAATCATATAGAGAGCTGTAGGATACCTTTTGAGAAAACTTATACGTGACGCAAATATATACATGTGACTGATTTTATTTATTATTTATATTGGTCACTTATTATGATTAATGTATTACTCGATTCACTGATCTCAGTCCGAGCTGTCTATTTGCAATTTAATAACAAAAAACGGGTGTGGCAACTGCCGAAAAAAAGTTATACTTCTATACACGCGTTCGCCGCTACAAATTTATATGGGAGTCAATCTGAACAATCATTACATATGTAATGCTATAGGTAAGAGAGAGCAGAAAGAGAAATAGAATTAGGTATATAGGTCTATGGTGCATCGTTTGCTGTATATAAACAACATTTGACTTGTAATAGGAGTATCTAAAATGAAGGATTGAATCAATATTTTGATGAAAATTTAAATTTTTATTTTCATATACGTATGAAAGGAGTTGAATGCAAAAAAAAATTTACACATAAATATTCATAAAGTAAAATTCATTGTATATTTTGTTATTAATATAAAAATACAACACAATACACTGCAACATAATTTAATATAATTATAATTGAATAAAATAATACAAATTAAAATGCAATATTCATAAGTATTTAAAAATGACAATATTTAGCATTTTTCATATAAAAATGCTTGCACGTCATTCAAGATTTACGACGTCAGAACCCCACAGCGTTGCCAAAACATTAGAACAGTTAGTAAGTGAGGTGAAGTAATTTTTAAAATGTCATCTATTTGTCAAACTATTATATTAACAGTAAATACACTTAGTTTTAATACTACTGCAATAGACTAAAATACATAAGAAAACATTTTAATACAAAATTATATATTCTAAATTTTAAACTTACCTCTTTTAGGGCTTTAACAGTAAAAACGTCCCACCATTATTTCTTGTTTAGAATAACGTTTTCGCCAAAGAGAATTAATTTGGCTTCTTCGGGACTGAAAGAGAATAAATTATAATTAGCTACCATATGAAGGGTACAGGCAAAGAAGGTGATATGTCAAAAAAACAAGTTTCGAGAAAAACGGTTTTAAAGGTTTGGACTCTCTGGTGTTTGTTTATTAGAGGAAAATAAAAAGTGACAAATTTTTTAATAATGTATTGGAATGTTACCTATTAGACAGTTAAATGTGAATAGCCAAAATACAAATGCATAAAAAGTAATAAAACATTTTGTAGAAAATTGCAATTTTTACAGGGCAAAAAGGTGTTTTGTCAAATAACTTAATATTATAGACTACTTACTAAACATAATATTTTTATTGTAACAGTAAACTTAAAATGTAGGTAAATAAAACTAAAGGCGTCCTTATGAAAAAGAGGATGTGGTAAAATTTTTCAGGTATTGAGTGCTTTATTCATCCTAGAACAAAAAAAATTAGGGTCAATTCGTATATAGATGAGGTTGTCTAGCTTACCGCAATAATCATAAAGCTCAAAGGTCATCAGTTTGTCTTCTACAAATATGGCAACTGGTTAAAGTAGTCTTGAGCCGCTGAGCCACAAAATATCTTCAGCTCTTGGAGATTTTTCCATTTCATCTTACTAATGGGTAAAAGCGCTAAAAGAAATTTTCCTGTTACAGAAATATTTCAAAGGTAAAAATATGTATCTTACTTTTATACAAGTGATCAGGCAGTTCAAACTGGTTGCCTTCTAATTTGATTTTAGTTTTAAATTTGGGATCAGTAACAACAGTAGTTTCCCACGCACCATTGTAGCTGTCTCGGTGAAGTATCATCCTTGGATGTTCTTTTTCTATTTTCATTTCCCTAATCGGCCTAGAAGGAAATGGACATGTTCCTCTATAACGTCTACTCAAGAATGTTGTCCAGGTTCTGAAGTACGTTTGGTTAACGTTTTCTACTTGAAAAGGAGAGGGTTTCTTTCTAGCTATTCGGCCATTCGGAATTCTTCCTGCCATTGTTCTGGGAGTTCCACTCGTGTTTTTTGATTTATTAATCCAAAATCTTTATCACACTCCATGTACGAATGGCCTCTAATTGGAAAAGTAACCTTAATCAAATCTAGTCTTTTTTCTACATGCACTACATAGTGTAGAAAACGAAACATAGTGTAATTTTTGTTGTGTCCTCCACAGGAATCGCAGAATATTTCTAGTTCACGAACTTCAGGGTTAAGATAATTATATACAAAATGATGTAGCAAAGAGCAGACATCATCACTCCCTTTTTTTCCAACTGTTTCGGGATAAATGTAAAATATGCTTTGTGATGTAGACAAAACATGGATATTGAATGCATATGTAGACAACTGCCTTTTATAATAGACGTCACTCGTACTAATATTCGGAACCGGAAGATTTTTTGCAAAATCGATGCAGATTGCTTCCGTGGAAATCAACTTCTGGCTACGTGTTCTTGCGTCCCTCTTTCTTTTATAAAATTGTTCTGCTTTCGTTTTGTGTAATTTATTCTCTATATTTAACCGGTTTATATCTGCCTCTAGTTTTTGCCTCAGATTTTCTGTTTGCGATAAATTGAGTTTTTCAGCTTCTAGACTTTTAATCTTAGCTAAATATTCGTCGCATTGACTACATGTGTCAGATCTAGGGTATCCAAATGATATGTTGAGGTCAAAAAAAATGGTCCTATAAGTTTCATATGACACATTCTCATTTGGAAACTTTTCACAGAACATATTAAACATTTTTTTAATATTCAGTTCTTCTGGTAGGTATACCTTAGCCGTATCATGCATACTGTAATGACTTTTACGACCTCTAAACGATCCAATATGACTTTTTATCGTACTTTTTGCTTCAATAGAGAGCTTGTGTGGCCGATTAGTGTGCTTACCTCTACGATGCATCTCCTGTTAGTTTTAATGATTGCTGCAGCACGGCTAACTTTCTTCGGCCTATTCCATGTATAGATATAAATGCCTTTTTACATATTTCAACATCTTCAGCATGACCATTTATATCGTCTACAACTCTTACACGGTACCGGAAGGAAGCATCGTGAAGAAGAGCATCGCGTTCTTGTTGCCTTGGTCTTCGTTGTTTGATTGGAAGGGTCGTTATCAAACCACACAGATATATATTCTGCTCATCAACTGAGTTGAGTAGATTAAAACTCTGGATGATTTTGTTTCTAGCATTTTCTGGTACACGCTCAAAACACTTTAATCTCTTACACCTACAGTCCTCGCCCATAGTATGGCTTCTCAAATTTAATAACTTATTTATTTTTTTTACTATTTCTATTTGAAGGCGAAATGTGGTTATCAACGATTTCAGGGTCAATTATCTCCATTACTTAGTTTTTGTAATAAACACAAGTTCACTGAGGAAAACACGTTTGTTTACTAAATTTGCTGGAATTTGCCGATGTAATAGCATCAGCCGACGCTTACGTGTACATCCTGACAAAGCACTTTGTTCGCCGGGACCGCGCGGACTTGCCACCTTCTTAGCCTGACTAGAGAAATTAAAATATGTTATTATTCATGACTGAACACGTTTACAGCGGTGATTGATTTATAGAATGGTAGTTTAGGTCACTGGCTAACAGAGGGGACCAGAAACTCATTTTCTGCAAAAATTGACATAACATCTTCTTTGCCTGTACCCTTCATATATTATCTATTAAAAAACATTATTGGTCTTACCGTAACTAGAATTGTCGAGTTAGGATGTTATAAAACTTAGCTAGTAACCACATAGTGGTGTTTTTTGTTACTATGTGCATAAAACGTTTTTTTAACGTAGTAAATGTATGGTAGCTTTGAACTTAAAACGCAAAGGTTTACCCAAGGTTAATCGAAAAACCCAATGTAACTACATTTAAAGGAAGTAATTCTTTGAATTGTCGGCAATAACTAAATTTTTGATTGTTATAAAGTTTAAATGTGAGGTTCTGTACTTTCGGTGCCAGTATGGGAGCAAATATTTCTCCTTTCATTGCAACTTACGTTATGGATTATGTGTTAGACTCAGCCATTCCTTTACTATGCTTTCAAATTCCATTTATTAAAAAATATGTTGATGATATCATTTTGGTCATACCCAATGACAAGGTAGATGAACTATTAGATACTTTTAATAGTTATGACCTCTACATCCAGTTCACTATAGAGAAGGAAGATGGTAATTGGTCCGTCCCCTTTCTCGACATAAGGATGATCAGGGATAACAACAACATTGAAATAAATTGGTATCAAAAACCGACACATTCTGGTAGATACCTTAACTACCACTCTTACCATAATAATTCTACCAAAGTCAACTTAATCAAACAGATGAAAAATAGAGTAATAAAACTATCAGATCCTTCGTTTCATACAAAAAACCTACAAATCCTACAGAAACTTTTTATTTCAAAAGCTTATCCAACACCATTAGTGATACGAAGATACTTCACCTTCCATCGTGACTAACAATGCTGATCCTGATGTCTTAAGTGGGAACCCAGTCTCGGATACTCCTATCAACAAATATTTTTCATTACCATGTTTCAGAGATATCACTCCGGGGTTAACCAGGATTCTGAAAAGTGTTGAAAATAGCTTTGGTAATAATAACAACAACATTAAACTTAATGTGGCTTGTAGATCAGCCCTAACAATTAATAATCTTTATTCTAAGATAAAAGATAAGACTCCCATAGATAGGCTTAGTAACATTGTCTACAACATTCCATGCCTCTCTTGCAGCAATTCCTACATCGGCCAAACATCTCAATTATTGAAATCACGTATTACACTACACAAAAGTGATTCTCGACTTCACCCTGACCGCTGTGCATTAGCCAAACATGTCCATTCCACTGGTCATCTCATGGACTATACCAACACTACAATTCTCCACTGTGAGATCAATAAATCTAAAAGAGAGTTCATTGAAATGTCTTATATTTTCCTTAACGATTTCTCCCTCAATGTT